CTCCCTCGGCGAACGGATGAGACCTCACGAGTGTCTGACCATGTCGTTTTCGTAAGCCGAGTCTTTGGATTCGGTGTCTGTATAGAGAATTGTAGATCACTAGTTTCAAGAATAATTCCTTTTGGGAGCTCAGCTCTAGACTTATGTCTAAGCTTAAACCTGACGCTAGAGTCTAACACAACAATTCCCCCAGCTGATCCGAACCTCATCGCGACATGTCCATCGCCACCATCTCATGTCCCAGCTCTCGACACCATCACGGCAGCTTTCTCCCGTTCGCCAAGTCTGCGCCAAGCAGTTGTATACCGAGTTACCAAGAAGGCATCTTCCGGAATACCCGTCATCTCGGCCCTGGACGCCCAGAAAACGCCTTCCGTCTCGGCGATCCATCCCTCAGCTGGGCGCATGTCTTGGCCGTTCCTTGCACCACGGGGACACGATGCGGACCCCAGATTGGGTGCAGCAAGCATCCCGCCGTCTACTAAAGAGAGTGAGAAAAAAACCACACCAACGGTCCGCTAATCGTGGCGTTCCCGGTGCATGTATCCCTCCTTAGCGACATGCCCGTGTGTTGTAGGCCTCGCGAGGATCCTCAGCCAACCGTATCCACCCCGTTGGCGATTACATGTCGTTCTAGCAGGAGATTGGCATATGTCTAACCCTTGTCTGCATAGGTGAGCTGCAGGATTAGTGACCCTTCTTGTTCTCGAAGGTTTAGCGGATATCGCCATCGCCGTAGGATCGTCGGGGATGCGATAGTGAAAAGATGCCTGTGATATTATAGCTGTGGTTGCTTTTTGATTCTCGATTCGGATCACGGGAAACGCCACTCCAAGATGGGAAAGTATCTCGGATCGTCGTGAATTTATCGATAGCTCATATCGAGATGTGTGTTTTGACGTCAAAGCTGAGAATCAGGATGGCAACACGATATTCATCAGTGTTGATCAGCGTTCTCTTCGTAGGCGCAATGACGCGAATGATGTAAGAAGAAGACTCTTTCCATAGATGTTAATCTCGATCATTATGCAGGAAACGTGAACGATAATCTTTCTCTCCCTCGATCATTACGTGAATAATATTGTATCGAACCTGGAGGCAAAACTACCCTATAGAGAAACTGCTCATTACAGCGACGAGGCCATTCCCAGATTAAGCAACGCCTCTTTGATGTCAAAACCTAGCCAGGAACTCCAATTGGCTCGCCTTTTCTCTTCATCAATGTCTAGCCTGCAACGGACAACTGAACCCAAACCTTGAATTCATGCATGGAACTTGAAGCCTTCCCGAACACGGCAGTGATGCACGCTCTCCATTCCCGCTCTATTTCCCGACATTCGCTCCCTCAGGCATGCTCACAAAGTTTGACTTTCTTATCTGCACTCAATCCGCTGCGAAATCACTGGAATGTGAACAATTGTGTTAATAATCGTTGCTCTTCACATTACTCTCCCTCGTCTCAAACGAGTGACACCGTTTTAGAGCGTTGTTGGTAACAACAAATTTGGCTGATCGGCCAACCCGTCCCCAAAAGATGGGTTTCCGAAACACGGGGGCTCTACGGCTTCTGGCATTGGTTGCTTCATTTCGCGTTGCTCTTCCATCAGATCACCAACGCTAGTCTCGTGTCACCATTAGCTGAACTCATTTGATTTATGCTTCTTTGGCATCTAGACTTCCACTCGGCTTATCAGGTGTCAGACAATGATTTTTTTTCTAGTCTACCAGAAAAAAAGGCGCGTCTCAAAAGACGTTTGCCACCGGTGTCTCACGAAGCCAATCGCGCGACGCGTTGCGAATTAACATAAGTATTGAATCCCTTAGAAGTGTCTTATCATGGAATCTATGGACCTCTTTCTTTTCAGCGCTCAATTAAGGAACTCCAGGATCGCAGAGATTACAACGTCAGGAGCCTGCTCGGGAACATAGTGCCCCGACTCAACACTACGACCCTCGACCAGCACACCAGGATCAGCAACATCCTTCCACTCCTTCACAGCATCAAAGCACTTCTCAATAACCCCATGCTTTCCCCATAAAACAAGCAAAGGGCTCTGAATCCTCCGCCCTTGCTTCAGATCCTCACGCGCCTCCTCCAGATCCACCGTCGCGCTCGCGCGATAATCATTGCACATGGCATGAACCGTCGCAGGATCTTCCAAATTCTTGGCATAGATCTCAAAACACTCTGGCTCAAAGATTGATAACCCATCGCCTTGACGACCGCCCATGAACATCTCTGCTAACTCTCTAGGCTTCGCGGTGATGAGTGTCTCGGGGAGAGGTTCTTTCTGGATGAGGAAGAACCAATGGAAGTATGCTTTCGCAAAGTCGAAGTCCGTCTTGGTGTACATTGCAAGTGTAGGACATATGTCGAGTAATATGAACTTGCGGATGCGATTGGGGTAGTCGACGGCGAGTTTATGCGCGACTCTGGCGCCGCGATCATGAGCGCAGACGAAGAAAGATCCAGTATGGCCGAGAGCATCCATGACATCGATACAATCTCTCGCCATGGCGCTCTTTGCATACGAAGCTACATCATCAGGCTTGGAGGACTTTCCATACCCTCGGATGTCAATCAGTACAACGTTGTACTTGTCTAGAACCCGAGGCGCGACACGATGCCAGATGTGTAGTGTTTGGGGAAATCCATGGATGAGAAGAAGGGCGGGCTTAGATGAGGACTCGCCGCTTTTCAAGCCGTTGATGGTGATGTCCGGGTTGGACTTTGTCTTGATTGCGAAAGGTTCAAAGTTGTCAAACATTTTGGTACGCTAATTGTGATGATATCGTAAGAAGGATTGAGGAACTGGATCGTACGCGCAGTTTACTGGGTTTATATCTCGTCAACGCCCTTTGGTAGACAAGTTGCTTAAATAATGTATTTTGGCGATGATTAATTGCGGAGAGTGACTATGCCGTCATAATTTCACAGGCGCACTGCCAAACCTCGGCAGCTTACTGCTAACGGGCTTACATTCTGCCGCAAGATAACGGTGAAACACGCCGAACCAGAGGCCAGAATAGTGATTGATGCATTGATGGCATAGTAACTCACTTTTAGAGATCTTTTCTCCTTCTCCTGTTTTCGACATTCAGTTACACAGGAAGTCGGCAAAATGGCAATCAGTCCGATCTTATCGGGGTCCGTACGCCGATAAGAATAACGGACAATGAAACCCCCGCTGGCGAGAAGCGGGGATTCATCGGCTTTTCGATGTCCCGATATCGTCGGCCTTTGGTATAACCGTCGAACACTTATGAAGCGCAAGTCCTCAGACATAAGTTGGAGAAAACACAAAACACTCTCTAAAATACAAGCAGTCTCACAGAGTTGGGATTTAGAAACAGACTTCATAAGCCTCCCACAATGTCCAAAACACTCAAGATCGCCGTCATCCCCGGCGATGGCATCGGCAAAGAAGTCATGCCCTACGGCGTGCGTTGCCTCAAAGCCGCAGCAAAGAAGTTCAACCTCTCACTAGAATTCCAAGAGTTTGGATTCGCCAGCTGCGACTACTACGAAAAGCACGGCAAGATGATGCCTGATGACTGGAAAGACACTCTCCAGAACTTTGACGCCATTTACTTTGGCGCCGTTGGCATGCCAGACCAAGTCCCCGACAACGTCAGTCTCTGGGGCAGTCTTCTCAAATTCCGCCGCGAATTCGACCAGTACATCAATCTACGACCATGTCGCCTCATGCCCGGTATTCCATCTCCCCTCGCAGATCGCAAACCTGGGGATATCGACTTTTGGATCGTGCGTGAGAATACGGAGGGAGAGTACTCCAGCGTTGGAGGAATTATGTTTGAGGGAACGGAGCGAGAGACTGTGATCCAAGATACAGTCATGACACGTGTTGGAGTCGATCGCGTTCTTCGATATGCGTTTGATCTTGCGCAGAGTCGACCTAGGAAGAAATTGACTAGTGCGACGAAGAGTAATGGTATCAGCATCACTATGCCATGGTGGGATAATCGTGTGGCGGAGATGAGTAAGAACTACTCTGATGTTGCGGTCGAAAAGTATCACATCGATATTTTAACGGCACACTTTGTCCAACGGCCTCAGATCTTTGATGTTGTCGTTGGATCAAACCTCTTTGGCGATATTCTCTCTGATCTGGGTCCTGCATGCACGGGAACGATTGGCATTGCGCCGTCAGCAAATCTCAACCCGACAGGCAATTTCCCTAGTTTATTCGAGCCTGTTCATGGAAGTGCCCCGGATATCTACGGCAAAGGGATTGCCAACCCTATTGGAATGATCTGGGCAGGACAGATGATGTTGTCGCACTTTGGGTTCGGTGATGCTGCTGCGGGGATGATGGCGGCTATTGAGACTGTGCTGGCGAGTTCGGAAGCGAAGGTCAAGACTGCGGATATTGGTGGCAAGGGAAATACGCAGACGTTGGGAGAGGCTGTTGAGAAGGCGATTCTATCAGGCCAATAAGACATGGCAACACGGTATTTATCAATAGACAAGATAAAAAATTCCTCCCTATTCATAGGGTACTACCTCTCGTCTTATCCCTATTATGTTAGATGGATGTTGGTCGCCAACACAGTGATGGGAGCAATCCGTGAGCAAAAGCACGCTGCACGAGTGTCGCATCCACCATGATAACCATTGAAAACTAATAAAAGCTCTAAGCGATAAAGTCTTGCATGAGCTGAAAGAGAGTTGGTGGGCTGATAAATCACCGGGCCTAAAAAACGGCTTCGTATTGGCCTATCCGCGCAGCTTTGCAGGATCCTTCACAGCCTGATTGCCAAGAACAAGCAATCATTGAGTACAGGACTCTGCGAGTGGTACGCCACTTGCTTATCAAAAATGACAGTCTAATCAGAAGTCTTAGACAATGTCATATAGCCACCATCAAGTCTGGTAGGGTGTTGTGAAGATGCATCGGGAATGAGGGATAAAACACACTGAGTTTCTGTATTATTTGTACTCTAACGTTTTCCCACGCTGCTCCTAACTAAGTATCACTATGGCGGAGTACAGTGCTATTCTTACCACTGATACGCCTGATCTTCCTCCAGGAAGCCCAGAGCAGCACATGCCATTGGAAGAATCACCCCCTCCGCTCCCTACTCGCTATGAATCATTCCGCGAGGCCGATTCTGTATCGCTGCCCCATGCCGATACAGAGTCCGAACCAGCTGTATTGAAAACCGCTAATGACCAAAATATCTCGGTAGAATCGCTACCACCTGGTCCAATGCCTTGGAAGGAATACCCAAAGCATCGTTGGTGGCATAAGATAGGACTCTTAGGTCTCTTGACACTAATAATTGGTACTGTGGTCATCTTGGCCTCATGTGCCATACTGGTGTTTCTTTGGAAAGGTGCGCAAATAGCCCGAGATCGCGGCGAGCCGGCAGAGTTTTTGGAAAAGCATAGTCTTTCGCGACATGGCTACCAAAGTTATTACCATATGTTCTGCCGCATTACGTGTGTCGATAGGCCTTCATATCAGCCTCTTAGCTGCGGCTGTCGGTGCTCTCATGCTCGAGACTACTGGTACCAGGTTTCGCGACATCGCGGCAGTTTCAATCCAGCGAGCATCAGGTTCGAGCCCTTACACAATTCTTCCAGCTTCATTACGAGTTGCCAAACTCAGCGTATTCGGTGTACTGCATGTTTCGATCATCATTCTAGGGATAATTATCCTAGTTGCTTCTACTTTTACGTCTACGATACTGCTCACAGACTTAAAGAATGTCAATATCGCGGGACCTATGCAGACAAAGCTTCTTCCAATTGGACTCGGACCGAATACTACCTTGTCGGCGAATGGTGTCCTCCACTATAGGTCTAGTCCGTCTGCGAACTGGCGGTTCGCTGAGATGAAACCCGGCAGCGTTGTATCAACTGCCGAGATTGCCGATATCGGGAATATATACCGTGCTCTTCTGCCCTACATGAAGGAGGAGGCTAGAACAGCTCTGGAGCACTACTCTGGGCCAGGGCTGGTGGGTAACTTCAGAACAGTCTGTTTCAGCCCCAGCCTTGAAAGGATTAGCTTCGGTCTTTCTGCAAGCAGATCGGGCCTTCAGGCAGAGCTCGGCCTCAAATCAACGCAAAATGGTCCAGGCTTTCTCAAGAACTGGTCAAAGAACAAATTCGAGTTCAACGCCCAGCTGCCGACGAAGTGGAATGAAAGCGATGAGGCTACCGTACCACTCTCGCTCGCTAACAACTACCGCGCTGGTCCCCGTGGGGATCTGGGACTTAGAGACCCCCTCTCGGGCCGGAACTTCACTATGATACCCCTGTTGCTCCTCAAGTCCAGCCCAATCCTGCTGCATAGATTTGGGCATCTAGATCTAGGTGGCGAGACGGATGAGAGCGAAGCGATGGATAAGATTGACCAACTGAAAGGATTAAAGACAAATATGGACGGTCGTTGGACAACAGCTTCGTTGAAGAATGGTACCGAAGTGTTCAGCGCGACATTGTGTTTTGTCGCGGACAACGCACCGGAGCTTTACGAAATTACAATGACTGAGATGACCGCCCCATCTGAGCCGATTGTCGAGTGGCAGAGGAACGGCACTTCAAAGAGTAGTGAGCAGCTCCTGAAACAGCTCGGCATTGGGGATTCCCCCAAGGACTTTAGAGACCGACACATTATGCAGCTCAAGGTCGGAGTGCATAACTCGAAATACTCAAAATCAATGAGGGAGCCAAGAAACCTTGCTCTTATACAAGCGCTGTTGGGGTACTCGCCCCAAGGAGGCTGGGCGATGACAATCTACAAGGATCTCTACGAGGAAGATTGGATCGCTTGGTGGGCGGCACACGCTGTGCATGTCTCTCTCGTCCAAGACATCCTACGAGCGACGGGCGATCCCGCATTAGCCATACAAGCCCTTGCCTTTAGGTTCCACTGCATGATTTTCTACGACAGCATGCCCGAGTTTGACCTGCACAAGCCAGTCACCACCATAAATTCAGTCGAGATGCTCATCCCAGTGCGGTGGACGGGGTTAGCCGTAGTTCTGAGCCTGGTCTTGGTTCACCTACTGCTACTTTGCAGCACAATGGTGCTGTTTCAACTCAAGACGAGGGCTTCTGATCTAGGCAACGCTTGGCAAGCCATTGCCCAGGTTGTGTCGGCTGAAACGCGTGCGGTTGTGGAGGAGGCGAGCGTGGTGAGGGATAAAGAGGTAGAGGCTTGGGCTAAGTCGTCGGGTGTTTCTAGAAGGTCGTATACTGTATCGATATCCGATGTTAGGTGCAGAACGGAGATTATGGATCAAAAGATATGAGAGACATCGGAGGGTTTCAAGCGCTTCGGCTCAGCTATCTTTCTCCAAGTCGAATTACATGCATATCACACTGGAAGATGTATATCATCTACTCGAACCTGAGTCATTGTCACTTCCTCCACCTGATTAGCGCTCTGATCACCCACTTGCTGCTGTGGGTATTCTAGATCTCACGTTCGGTCGATGCTGCCGATCACGGGGTCCACCAACATGCACCTCTCGTTTATCAACCAAGAATACTTATAACAAAGCTCCCTGTTAATAAATTTGGTTCGTAATTCCCGCTAGCGGGGGGAGGAATCAGGATATTAAATTCCCGCAGCATACGCACGGTTCACTCAAAGCGCTGGCCTGAGTTCTGTGGCTCCATCTTGTGACCTAGATGTGTTATTTGCAGTTGAGACTTATGGCTGAGCCCTTAAATCAATACAGAGAACTTGGTGGCATCGATCATGCTATCCTAGTCAGCCGTGGTGATATCTTATCGGGCCGATAACATGCCTCGGTGAGATATTGAGGTGAGAAGATGTGCGTGCGTTTTACTTGCTCAATGTAATTAAGTTGAAACATGCCAGGGCATGATCATCCGGAATGAGCCGACTGGTACGGGGCAATTCAACGGTTACTCCTACTAGAACCTCAAAGTATCGTGATTTCCGGAGCGGGCCGGAAGTTCCGGTGGTTGACGCAAAGCTTCCCCAGAAAGCCAAGGTGTAAGGTTTCATTCCCGTTGTACTAAACCCATATTGAGGGAGCAAGGAGATAAGCAGCTCATATCACTTCATGTCACTTGTTCCGAGGTGGCCTAGAATCAGGTAGTCGGCATAACATGTAATTAACAGTCAAGGTCTTGTTGTGCTAGGCAACCTTGATGGTCGGTCATGAAAGGGATTTCCGTCCCTGTCTTTGTGTTGATAACTCGCTCATCGTGCGGGCGAAATCACCATACGCCAAGAATATTCCTTTGCTGAATTAAGAAGTTACGAGAACTATGGCACGAGCTTCAAAAGCTAAAGTAACTGGGAAGATCCCAGGACGATTGGTCTCTTATACGCTGGGCTAAATAGAGTTCGGACCACGGCACATCCATCCTAGCACGCGACCTTCTCATCGCGGCATAGCGGAATACCACGTCAACTTTGACATCCAATTAGACCTGCGATTTAATGACGCAAACACGTCTCAAATCCGGTGAAGTTAGTAATATGTCAGGTAATAAGAAAAGAATAGACTTTGTGGCTTTATTCCGTCTAGAATCTCTCGTGTTCCTCGAGGGGCTAGTTTGTACGAAAGAATCGGCTGATTTTCCATCGCTTATCGGGTTGTAGGTGGACCGTTGGGGTTACCATCTCGCGACGATTTCCAAGAACAGACCAGTCTACGCTGCGGGATGACATATGAGGAAGCTTGTTAACAAAGCGTGAGTTCAATGTCAACAATCTCCGACACGTTTCAGATTTTAGCTTCGAACGAAATACCGTTGATGTTATGACCATCGCAGAGGCCCTGTAGTTGGGCATCATTATACCACCAAAAGACCGGACGTTCTTATTTATAATTCACAACAAACCGAGAGAAGAGCTCTCAGATACAACCCGCCATCAGTCACTCCAGCGTTCAAATGCTTTCAACAATGTCCGTTCCTCGGACTTTTGACCAGGCGTCTTACCAACCAACCCCCTTGGCCATGGATGCAACCATCAACGGCGCCTTTGAGGCATTAGACGGCATCAATTTCGACTTTCAGCCATTCACTGTGCAGGAAAGTCTCCGGGAGGATTCGGCAACCCTCGAGAGGAGGAGATTCTCCTGGGAAACGCCGTCAACATCTTCATATCACGCCATCTCCGATGATACACTAGCCAACGATCAAAATTTACAGCTCTATATATGTTCTCCATCATCTGTCCTTTCGAAGGCCTGCGGGCAGCTTCGTCCCATGTTACCAGATGACATCACTGGAACCTTTGTAAACAATCATAAGAGCCTTGATCAACGGGTACATCAGTGGCTCTCAGAGCTCCCGGATATTCCATGGCTGGATGTGAGTTATGTCGATGTAAGTCTACCAACCTTATCAAATATCACAGAGGTTGATCCTAAAGCGTACTGCAGGCCCTAGATGAAAGCACCGGGGACGAATCTTCTTCAACGACTGATACTGAACGAACAAGAGAGTCGATTCCTGGAACCGAAGGTCTCTTAAATTACCTGGACTTTCTAGACACCTGCTACGAAAGCATCCAACCTACAAGTCCAACGCGCGGATATGTAGACTACGGAAGGCCTGAGCTATATGGCACGACGACGGATGCGACAGCTACCCTCGACGCATACCATTTGAGCCTGCTGCAAATGGACTCATCTTCCGCTTCCGCTACAAAAGTTGACCGGAAGTTTCGACCATCGATGCGACGACAGTACCCTCGGGGCTTGGAAAAGGAAGCCCGTAGAAGTATTAGTCTCGTAGCATCTTCAAGATCTCACGAATGAGGCATTGTGCATTCAAAAGGAGCGACTACTGTAGCATATGTTTAGCACAGCATTTCCTTTTCTGTATTACTTAGAAGAGCCTTGATAATAGACCAGAATTGCCGACTTGGAGGATTGAGTACTCAACCTTGCTCCGTTGTTCCCTTTCCCCTAACCAGCGCTGCACACCATTCTAGAGAACAACAAAACCAACAGTCTAGAACCAAGCCACCATCCAGAACGTCTCTAGCAAGAAATCTCTAGCCAATCATCCGCTGTTCGTGACTGCAGGTTTGTAGTCCGTGCCACATGACAAACGGTGAATCTCGGATCCCCGTGCACCCGGGGTTGTCATCCTGCGGGCTCCCAATCGGCATAATAATGGGCCTTGGTAATTAATAAGAGTATGCCGCGGCATGCAGATCTATCGGCAGGTAGATCAGGGGGGATTTATGATAGCTCGGTAGCTAGTACTTGATGGGCCAAGCGTGAATCTTAGGTAGCACTTCGGGATGTGGGCTATAACAAAACGCGGACCAAACAAGAGACACAAATAGATATTCAGTGATGTAGAAATATCTTTATGGACTCGGTGAGTATTTCTGTCTGTGTAAGCTTTAGCGGAACACTCTGGGCCTCTGCCACGCGTACCATGTAGAAAAAGGAGTATTGCAATCATATCATTTGTATTTGCAGCCCCGAGTTTAACCTCCGCCAGTAAGTAATTCTATAGATAAATCTTGGAATGAACTCTCCGAAGAAGCATCCACGTAAGAGTCATCCGATCCTGACTCGACTTGTGAATGTCATGTCGAGTTGACGTAGTCTCTACCGGGGGGAGAGAAGCTTCCAGTCCCCGGCAAGGATTCCCCTGCTACAGCTGACGAGATCGCCCGGAGACACGGCCAAGCATGCAATAGGCTTTATATCGTGTTTCACGGGGTCAACCGGGACCGAATGCGATGCTCGTGGGTTGACTGTACGAGGGTTCTCGTCATGATGGGAATGTAACATGAAACTCATTGAAGAATGAACATCGTTTACTTGCCCGCTCTGAGGTCCGGGTTTCTGATAGAAGCGAGGATGAATAGATGATTGTAGCTAGGTAGTTCATGCTTCAGAACATCACCAGTAAGGGAAAGTAAGGGCGTTCGAACTGTATAATAAATTGAGTCAGTAAATACTAAAGGGTCTCCGTTCAATTTCTCTTCCATACAGAGTAAATACTCGCTCAATGAAACGATCTGCATTGCTAATTATCCTCTATAAAAGGGCAAATCTGTCGCAATTCAATCAATAAGCCGTACTAAAATTAGCCTAGCCTCTTCCTCTCCTTGACAATACAACCCGCGTATCGCGGTCACGAGGTGAAACAATCCGCGGTTCTGGGACGGCTCACAGATCAGCTTGCGCCGAGCTTAGTGGTAGCGTGGCGTTTATGCAGCGTAAATTGACATATCAGGGTGCGCTAAAAATGTCCTTAACATGTCGCTATCCGCGCTTTGATAGCAAAAGTGGTTTCACCAAGGCTAGCTCAGCCCGGCAGTAGTCGCTCGGCTTGGTAATGTGCCAGCTGTCATTGCGGTCAGACACTGGGATAAGCTTTTTAATGTAATTCATAACGGGTACTCCGAGACGTCATCTGCATACTTAAAGTCTTGGAAGGATTCATTGTTGTTCTATGACAAATATCGTCATTCTTTACCTTGTCACAATGAGAAATCAGAGCTTTTACCCCCCTTCTAGCGAGGACATGCCAGCTCCTCTCAAGTTTCCGCGACGCACATCGTCCTTGCGTAATAAGCGGCCACTACCTCACATTGTCACAATGATTGAGCCTGAATACAACAGGCAATTGTTCACACTCCACGAATGCGCCGACGATGCTTCTCGGTCTTATCACAAACGAAGCTTCTCCATGGGTTCATCACGGACGCCTACAAGCCCTGGTCTCGTCGAGTCGCCCTACAGTGATGTATCACCGACACTTCGTATGTTCTCAACGTCATACGTCATGACAAAACCGCAAGGCAACTCTACCAGCTATTTCGATAGTTGCGTCAGAAAAACTCGCCAAGTAGTCCATCCCAGCCAACAGAAGCCGCAAGGAAAAGTCCAAAATTGGCTCTCCAAGCTCCCTAATCGAAGGGAGTCGCCCTTTGAGGAGAAAAGGAGAGACGACGAAGTGTGCCAAATATCAAAGCCTAGACAGCCATGCCCTGTCGCCGATGCTTCTACATCTACTGAAGTTGAGAAGCAATTTCTGGATCTGGAAGAAGACGACGAGTCGGAAACCTCCGATTCTGAGGATACCGGAGACCTTGACGGCTACCACGAGGCTCTGTTCAGGTTTTCAGGTACAAGAAATGATTGCAGGCCAACATTTCGGGCATCGATGCGACGACAATTTCCGATCGATCGAGAAAGAGAAGCGCATCTAAAGATGTTCTGATACGACCAAATGAGGCGTCGAAAATGAATAGGACTCAAGCGACTGGGGTTCAATGGGACATTTTACTTTGTTGAGGGTTGGGTTGAGAAGTAGCATGCTGTCATGATGAATTCGATGCCGCTGCAGAATCACGGCCTTGAAGATAAAAAATTAGATTTCGTTATTTCGTCATAAATTGACGTCTACAATTTGCAATAGACGAAAAGTTGAGAGGGATAAAATTAGTTAGACTTAGGAAAAACAAAATACTTGAACATGAGCGCCAAGAATCAACGTCTCAAATCACGTCACCAAGAACATGACAAGCGACTCATGAGCGCACAAGAAAAAAGTTTTACGTCTAAGTATTAACTCAAATGGGCCATTGAAATCATGTCAAAGCGATCAGTGATCTCGATTTGGGCCCTGGCATGACCCCTGACAAGAAACGGTGAGCGCAACGCCGATCATGCATTTTAAAGAATATCATGAACTTCATGATGTTGCTTACGTTTAACAACGCAACGCCCAATAGAACATCAACAAAATGTTTGATTGAGTGGAGAATCTTAGTAAATACCATGAATTGTTCTCTTGGCAATCACTTTTCAAATATTTTCTTCAAAAGGACCGTGAGCATGGTGTTTAAAAGGCACCTCTTGGCTCTGGTCTTGTTTTGGAAACGGAACCCTCTCATCAATCAAGTACGTACTTGGTGATTGTTCCTAGAATAATTATTATCGACTCTATGGAATCGAGACTAAGTCGCCTACCAATTCCTCGTGAAGCTGCCCTCCCTCCAGAAGAAGGCTTCATCACTCGCTGAGATATCATCCAAGCCCGATTAAAAATGCACGTTTACGTCCACAGCGCCAATCCTTGGCTGGATGGCCATGTACAAGAATGCATCAAGCGACATGTCCCAGATGCCATCTGTCATGAGAAATTCACCGATATTCCTGAGGATGCGGATACTGTATATCAGCTTCTCAACGGATGGGAGCTTAATCATCACTTTGCAGTACTGAACAGATCCAAACATGGACTCCTCAACGCCTATCCCAACAGCGATGCGTTGGCTCGAAAAGATCACATGGCAAGTGTCGTGGATTATTGGATCACCAAAAGACCCGAAAGCGTGCTTAAAGGTCATAGTCCCGCGACCGTGAAGTTGTCCCTCGACTATAGCGAATATGTTGAGGATGCACTGGCTGCAGCGGATGATTTGACACTTCTGTACTCTCTTGAGGACAACGAAGCAAAGGACTCGTCGGAACGAGATTGGTGGATTTTGAAACCTGCCATGATTGATTGCGGCCATGGGATTCGGATATTCAGTACCATTGATGAATTGGCGGGTAATCTTGAACTCGCTGCCGACATCTCTGAAGAGGATGAAGAGAGCGAAGATGACGCTGAAACGCCGGATACCAAGTTCGAAAGCGACGATAGCGCTGAGGGTTTCAAGCCAAGTCTGTCGGCACCTGGACTTGATTCGCTAGACGCCCTTATCACAGCAACCGGAAAACTCTCCATCCAGGGAAGCAACAAGATACAGGATCTGGTCATCGACGAACATGAGCGCATTCCATCTGCACTTCTCCGGGAATTTGTCGCACAGCAATACATCGTTAACATCCCACCTATCGATGGTCGAAAGTGGCATGTTAGAGCCTACGTTCTCTCCGTCGGCCGTCTAAAAGTACACGTCTTCAACGAAATGCTCGCTTTACTAGCACTTGACGACTACGAGCCTCCGTGGAAGAACCCCACTCTCAAATCATCCTTGACCAACACCGCGCTCCAAGACGAAGAAGAGTTCACCAGCAAAGAATCCATGAGAGACTTTTGGAAGATCGACGATGATCTACTCCCCGGTGACTGGAAGAAGAGCATCTTCGATCAAGCTTGTCAAATCTCGGGAGAGCTACTCCGCGCAGCCGCTCACACAATGGCTGATAAGTTCACGCCACTGGACAAGTGCTTTGAGCTCTTCGCCATTGACTTCCTGACCGATTCAAAAGGAACAGCGTGGTTATTGGAAGTCAATGAAACACCGGCGTTTTACGAACAAGGTTACGCGGGTGAACTTGCGCAGCGGCTTATGGAGTCGTTGATTTGTGTGACGTTGGAGCATATGGGGATGGCTGATATGGAGAGTGAGAGGAATGTAGAGGCGAGGGGGAGGATGGTGGAGGTTTTGGATGCGACGAGGGAGTTGGCAAAGAGTAATATTACGGAGATTCTGCCGGGTGCTTTATAGAGGATTAGAATACCGTGAAGACTTAGTAAAATGGAACAGGGCTGTGGATAATATAGTGACAGATCTGATCAATCTTAAGATTGATTAGCCAAGGTAAACAAAATCGGCTCTATAGCCCCATTCTATTTTACTAAGTCTTTACGGTAGTAGAGTTTATATATCTTGCTTTTATGACTTAGTGTATATCTCCAGGAGTGAAGAGGCAAGGCTGAAGCTTAGAGATACTTAGATTAGAATTACTTTGTTGTAACTAATCTTTTATTACTTTATGATAAATAGGCAGTCCTACCGCGATCTCTCCTGCTTTGACTACAAGCGCCTCTCTTCCTTCCTCCATTCTCATACGCCTGGATGCCTTTTTCTTCTTCCATCATCATAACCATCATCTCAACTATTAACATTTCTAGCCAAAATGAGCACCGCATTCGAATTTAATACCGCAGACGCCCATTAAATCTTCGAAGTCATCGGCTATTCGCGCTTCACTGAGCAGTATCTTCCCGGCACGATACACAGCCCAGCCGAAGACCCCGTCCTCGACTTCCTGGGACCGTTTCCCAACCCCCTCGATCGTATCCTCCTACGGTGCGACGTGCAGTCTCTCTTCAATCTTCGACAAGTGAACTTGCAGCTGCGGGGAATAATAGCCAGGTCCCTGGCATACGGGGACATCACCAAGGCCCTTCCTCTGTACCAGGCGATCCTCGGTACACAACATGCGCAGCGCGTGCTTGTCATTGACTTTTGGGTCCTGATCACCACAATGCGGTGTAACGTCTGCGAGGAATCCGCCATGCTCATCAGCATCCCTGAATGGCTGCGGCTTTGCCATACTTGCGTTGAGACTGGCGAACGAAATGATAGCGGCCTAGACCACAGACTCGGCGTTTCCAGGTTTGTACGATTGAACACTTTGGCAGAGTGGCTAGCTTCAGGAAGAGCGATACCTACCCAGTCCTGGGTCAAGGATTACGGCGTCGGCTTGAAAGGCTAGAGGCAAGATATCGTAGAATACAGTAGATTCAAGCACCTCGATGGAGGAAGAAGGTCACGCTCGTGGGAGAGCTTGGCCCAGTTCAATTACATGGTGGTATGCGCAGTACCCTACGTGGACCCGGATAACGGAAAGACCGAGTCTGGGATTGCGTGCAAAGGATGCATGCGCGGACCCCCAATGCAGCCGAGCAGAGAAAACGGAATGGAGAGGGTTTACAGCCGTGAGGAGTTCATGGAGCATTTCCAATGGTGCTACAGAGCGCAGTTGTTGTGGCAGGCTTATAGTGAGGAAGACGCAAGCATTCCCCTTACCGCCACAAATTTTGCACTGATCGAGAGAGCGATCTCTGCGGTTGAGGCAAGCCTGGCAAATGGGTAGTTTCCACTACTGGAGTATCAGCTAGAGGATGTGGTTTGGAATTGACCTCGCCCGTTGGACTTTTCCTCTCCCTTCTTTCGGTTTCACCGGGCGCTTTAGAGCAAAGGGTTACGTATCAGAAATTGATGAATAGATTGTTTAAAGTTTGATGCTATATATGTACACAAAGATCAAGTGTCAACGCCATCGGGGTATAGAGTGCCGACGTGAGTTGAAAATTAATGGGGTTTCCAGAAGCTTCCAATACCAGGCTCACACACAGAATGAGCTGATGGAAGACAACCGACTCCTGACTCAAAAAGTCACGATTTAACAAGAAGCGACGCTGGGAACGTTCTTGCAGCTATCATACTTCTTACCACCAGTGACCTGAACATTCTGCCAAGTCCAGTCCTTGCAGCCCGAGCTTCCACAGACAATAGCAGCATTCTTGCCGCTGGACGAAACACCATTCTTGCCCTTGATGTTCTTGAGGGTGAGGCCGGTGATGGGGAGACCGCTGGTGGGCTCGCCGTGGAGATCACCGCCGTCGTAGTTCTGCTCGATGAGGATGCCGTACTTGGTGATGCCGGAGAGGGTGATGTCGGAGTATGTGACCTTGTTGACCTTGCCGGTGGTGTTCTTCATGGTCTTGACGCGGATGCCGTTGGCGGAGTTGACGACTTGGGAGTTGAGGAATTGCACGTTGTCGACGATGTTGTCGTCGCGGCCGCCGACACTGCCGATGGAGAGACCGTGGCCGCCGTGGCAGTAGCCGTTTTGGAAGATGATGTTCTGTTGAAGTCAGTGAGTTGTTCTTGGAGAGGTTTAAGAGTGGCTGACCTTTCCGGAGTTGACGGCAACACAATCGTCCTGGTTGTAAACCTTAGCACCGGTGATGGTGACACCAGTGGAAGAACCGATATCAAAAGCATCAGTGTTGTGACCGCCCTTGGAGTCACCATCCTTGTTATCAAGAGTGAACTGGTTGATAGTAAGACCATTAACACCATTGATGCTCACAGCCTGAACAGGAGTGTTCTTGACATAAAGATTGTTAATCTTGGAGTCAGTAAGCTTATGCGCCGCAAAGAACTTGGGCTTCGTAATGCCACTGTTTCCTCCCTTTCCATCCCAATACTTCTCACCACCAGCGTTAAGCACAGCACCAGAGCCCTCAACGGTGATCTTGTTTCCCGAGATCTTCATCAGAGGACCCTTCCACTCCTTGTACCCCCAGGTAGTAGTTCCCTTGAAGATGACCTTGGTGTTGTCCTTGAGCTTGCTGAGGTCCAGGGTCTCGCCGCTGGGGACGGCGACGTTGTTGAGTACGATGGTGGCGCACGCGGCCTGCGACTTGCTGGCCTTGGAGGCACCGTCGGAGCCGGAGAATGTGCAGGACGTGGCGCGCTTGGCGTAGGCGTGGACGTCCGGGGCTTGGGTTACTGCTGGGGCGGGGACGGCGATGGCGCTGCCGGCCAGGGCAGCGAGGAGAGCGAAGCTGAGCTTGGTCATTTTGAAGAGAGAAGAGTGTAATGAGTGACGAAATAAACGAATGTACTTAGTGAAAGAGTAACCTTTGACCGGCAAAAGGAATGTGATGATCTTGTGTGTGTACTACTCCTCTTCTTCCACGCTACCTATATGCTTATATATTCCCCGAATCTTGAATGCCCAGCCAAGCGGTCACCCGTTATATCCGAATTCTATGTTTCCAGAAAAGACTCTATTCTCTGTATTTTACGGAACACGATTATCCTCCAATCACGGCTGGTGCCCAGACTGTCAACGAGCATCGAGTTTAATGAGAAGGGTGACTTGAAGCCCCATTAAGCCAAATGCCACCGTCTACACTCCGTACGCGGGTTCCTTTCCTCATGATTGGCACGAATTACGCGTGTGGACCTGGCCCCTGGGTTGACAGGTGGAGCGTAGAAGGCCGATTATCCGGAGTAGCGCGATATGCCGTGCTTGGCAAATCGGGAATGTTTCCGGTTCATGTTTCAGGTTTGACTTTTGGCAGAGAAAGAGCCTCACTGAGGGAAACGTCACTAGGGTTCCAAGGTCAGTTTTGTGTTTGAATAAGCGTGTTTAGAAGTATGGTGAGTTTAGTTTCGAGATAGGCTTTGTGTACACGAATGCGACGTTGCGTTCGAGGGAAAAGCATCGGCCTGGCATGATTCAGACATCGCGAGATACAATCGTATAACGGTGAGTATCCTGTAAAAAATGATGCTAACATACAGGGCTCTCCCTGTTTTCATCCGCGGTACATATCCGCATCCATGGCCGCGGTGTTGCACGCGCTTATACCCGACAGCTATAGGGATATTTCCCAGCCATAAGGTTAAACGCTTGTAATCTGTCATCACCAAGTAATGCGCTGATTGGACCAGAAAATTAAGCATATAATCTAACGTTAGGTCATTGACCGCGCCAACTACCATATCCTATGAGACGTAGACTATGACATAGAAGCTCAGGAAAGTGGAAAAATCAAGACTTGGCAGCATACTGTCTCGCCAAGACATCACGGCACTCAGACGCGAGGAAATAAGCTAAACGGCCAAGGAAAAGTGGTCAGACGTTGGGGCCGATTATCTTATATCTATGGGGTCGTGAGATTGGGATCCTGCCAAGACTCATACTCGTTGGCGAACCTATGAACATACGGACCACTGATTATGATGTCTTGCCCTACTCCCTTAACCCTTTTCTATTTTTTACTAGGCGACGAGTTCTGAAGTGCAGTGGAAATGAGAAATCAAAACTCATTCGTATGGCTAGTTCCGTTCAGTAATCTTTTGTCTATACTGAGACAGACTGTCACACTTCCTCACTAGATTGAATATAGTGACAAACGTGTTCTAGGGATCGAAAGTCCTAAATATGCATAGTCCAATCATGGAAGTGCTTTTGCATGTGCACCTATGTACATCCCAGGGTCCCTCACAGGCCTTGGGCGGCTATGATGTAACTATGAGCAAACTACGCACAAGTCTCCCCGATAATAACAAGGCCGCGAACTTTTCTAGCGTCAGAATGGTGACAGACAAGACTATGCTTTCTTTTTCCTATGTTGTCTCATTTCTTATCTCTTCCTTCTCGCGTCAACTATCACTTTGTCATTGATGTGCTACAAGGGCATCCATGTGCATTATGAAACGGGAAGATGCACAGCAAGACCCCCGAGCCAGTAAAATCACACGCGGAGGGACGCCGAGAGGGGAAGCGCTTATTCCTTTGGTGTCGGTCCCTCAGGATTGGCTTGTGTAACACCAGAAGCAAGGACCAAGTACCTCGCGATGCAGGCCGTGACGAAAAAAGTGATCATTCCAGATGGAATCATTTGAGGAGATGAGAGGTTGTGATAGGGGTTGGGCTTTGAGTGCTGGCACCACTGAGGTTGATGGCCTTGATGTATGATGATCGCGAGGCTTTTCGAATGAATCACCACTGTTCTCCTTCTGTCATGCATCTATGGCTGTCGTGCCGAAGCTGAAACAAGAAAATAGGCATATAACTCCAATGTTACATGGTAGGAATGATATATATCAGCTGTTCGTTCCTTTCGATGTCTTGAGCTTTCATCTTTTCAGACACTCTTCTAGCAGTATACCTTACCGTCTTCAATAAGACCTATCGTATTCCTAGCAACAGGCCCTCAAGGCCTATAATGCCCAACACTATGGAATTGTGTTACGGAACCAGATCATTCCCTCAATCAATCGATCTCCCCGGTGCCTGGCACGGTACTCAGTTCTCTGACGAGTCAGACTACGTATACCATCTCAGCTCCCAGGAAGTCGAAGAGATCGAAAGTGCGCTTTCGCACTTCAAAGGTAAGTTCTCTGAAAACATTGTACTAAGGAGGATCTGATTTAGTAATAGCCCTCGGCCTGGACGGAGACTTGATCTGCCGACAGAACTTCCCACTTCCGACAGTCGGCAAGACCCTCGATCGCATACGACTAGATATCCATGAGGGGAAGGGTTTCGGTCTGGTCCGAGGTTTAAACCCTTTAGACTACTCCGCTGAGGATTTGACGATGGTATACCTGGGAATTCAGTCGTACATCGCCAACCTTCGAGGTCGACAAGATAAGACGGGCAACATGTTGGGTAAGGTACACCAACGGGATACTGCACATGAGCGCTGACAAAGTTCGGTTTGACTGAAGTTCACATCCTGGCCGACAACTCTTCTAATGTTTCTAGTCAGCATCATCGCCACTCGACATCAGAAATCGTAAGTGGGACTTTCCAAGTTTGAGTCCGTGGCTGATAGACAATCCCACAGATGTTTCACAACGAGGAGTCCGGAGACATTGTCAGCTGGCTGACAAGGAGCACTGCAGCATCCGGCGGGAGATGTATCATCGCTTCAGGTTATGCGGTATACAACATCCTTAATCGATACCACCCAGAATCTATACGCCAGCTTTCCCAGCCGAAATGGGTATTTGCAAAGTAAGTCAGCCCCAACTCATCTTTGTGCTCAGAAAGATCTCTGATAGACACCATCCAGCCAGGAAGGTTACCCGAGACCGATTTTCTATTACCACCGCAACAGAATCATGCTTAACTTCGGCCGAGTCCCTCTAATCGGCAACGCGATCCATCCGCGCCCAGCTCATCTACCGCGAATCTCCATGAAACAGCTCAAAGCGCTGGAAGACATTGAACGCGCAGCTAGAAAGGTTCAGTTGGAGATTGAAACGAGACCCGGTGATATTCACTTCATTAACAATCTCTTCATTCTTCATAAACGTGATAGCTTCAGGGATGGTGATGAAGTTGCCGAGAAGAGACATTTGGTCAGGATGAGGCTTCGAGATGATGAGTTGGGATGGGATTTACCCGAGAGTCTGAGAAAGGAGTGGGCAGATGCGTTTGGGGCAGGGTCGGATAGGCTTTGGCATGTTGACCCTATGCCGGAAGGTTTCTTTCCTTTGAGATCGTATCCGAATTAGATGATAAGGCACCGAGGCGAGGAGGAAAACAGGAGCAAGCGTTAGATGGACATATATACGGAGTTATGTCTATAGAATGCAGGTAGAATAACTAGACCACTGGAGTTTTCTTTCTCCGATATAGAGCTCAAAACGTTGTTGAAGTTAGTCTTTGATCCATCATTATCTTTTCTTGGATTTACTATGAAGCCATCTGTGAGTATCTACTTTGTCACAATAGCCATTTCCGCCTTCAAGCTATTATACGTATTCATAAGCCATCTTCAGTAACTTTCTGATGTATCGGCGGTGCTCCAAAATGGAGTCGCGGTGTTGACCCCACATGACCCGGAGACCCCTCTCTCGGGAAACCCACCTCGGATATGGCTCATTGACACCCACTCCACCCAGCAAAGACACTACACAACATCAACTTCGATCCTGGTTACCGAGAGACAATATGACAGCAACCATTTCTCACGAATCATTGAATGCCACACTGACCGGCCTCCGGACCTCGGACGTGATTCAATTTCGAGGCATTCCGTATGGCCGTATCCCGCGCCGATTCGCTGCGCCCGAGAAACTGGAGAGATATCCCAGATTTCTCGACTGCACCAACTTTGGGTATGGCACCACAATTCCAGTAATTTGAAGCATAAAATGACTGAAACCACCAGACCTCGATGTCCGCAAGTCGCTGTCGATGTTGGACACTTGCTACGCATCCCTCCGGAACATACGTTCCCAGATGAACCGGAGGATGAGTTCAAATGCACTAATCTAGACGTCGTATTGCCGGACAGAGGTCCTGACTTGAGAAACTCCGATTTACCCGTCTTGGTCTGGATACATGGTAAGGTCGTTATCGAGGCGGTATCAATAGAAGCTAAATGAAGAACAGGAGGCTCACAAGCCGTGACGTTTGGAAGCGCTGCATCTGGAGTCTGCGGTATGGATACAGCTCCAATGATGGCATGTGCTGACATATTCCACCAGACATGAGTAAAATAGTAGCTGATTCCCCCCGATTGGGGAAGCCCATAATCGTGGTATCCGTTCAGTACCGACTCAATGTCTTTGCTCTTGGTAATGGACAAGGGCCTCCGAACCTAGCTCTTCGTGATCAAGAACTAGCTTTGCAGTGGGTTCAGGAACATATCGCTGGCTTTGGCGGTGATCCGGTACTCCAACATCTCAAGCCTAGAAGAGCAATCTGCTAACAAAACGTGCAGAATATGATTACTCTAGCGGGTGAGAGTGCGGGTGCTATCTATTGTCACGCCCACCTCGTTGCAAACGCACGCGTGCGGCAAGTCATTCTATCATCCGGCTCACTATTCTTATCTCCTCCTCAGCCTCGGCAAATGGTAGTAAGTTTTCGGGAAACGATTTCCGCGAAGCTGAAGGAACTGGATCAAACGCTCGATCTGGAAACGGCATCTGCAAGTCAGGTTGTCGAGGCAGTCAGAAGATCTGGTCTGCAATCATTTTTCCTCGAATGGGAAGAATCCTTCAATGCTTGGCAGACCAAGACGGGCTGTGCAGAGAGATTACTCCTCAGCGACGTGACGAAAGAGGTTAGTGAACTCACAACTTTGGGATTGACTGTACTGATGAGTGGACAGGGAGCTATTTACCAAGCTGGAGTATGGGCAACGGACCCAGACGACATAGCGAAGGCCTTTGATGCTTCGGAGCAATATGGCGACGAGCTCAAGAAGCTGTATCATATTTACCCCGACCGGCCTTCATCTTGCAAAACTGGGGCATTGGACTTTATTAACGACTACAAGTACCTGCTACCAGTGCAGCTCCTCGAGAAAGCCTTCAAGGACGCGAACAAGTATGCTTTCAGATGTCTGATAGACGAAGCAAATCCATGGCAGCCGTCAAGCGGAGCTCATCACGCCGTCGACCTCGTTCTCTTGTTTGGCGGCTTTGATCTGAGTTTCGCGCCTAGTGCTGAGCGGGTTGGTCAGGCGATGCGCGAGTCGTGGACCAAATTTATCTCCGGGGACGAACCATGGTCTGCAGCGGCGGAGAAGTATTATGGTTTTGGTCCCCATGGGAGTTTGAAGACTCTTGAAGACTGGGAGGTTCAGTCACGCAGACGCCTTGGGCTAGCGGAGAAGTTGAGTGAAATGGAGAGTTCGTTGTTGGATAAGACATCTCGCGGGCTCGCGGCTGGGAAAGTGAGTCTGTTGAACTGATACATTGATTCCAAATGTATTATCTGATTACTGCAATCTAAGCCTCCACGGCCATGGGTGTTATTCTCTCATACCGTCCCCTCGCATCAAAGTCACCCTCATAAAGACGCCATCAAAGACCGAAAGCGTGATCGTTTCCTCGCCGCCGGTTGCTTGCGAATCGTAGCTACAAGAGCCATAAGACTCGATACAACAGTGATATCAAATATTGGCGTAGAGTCAACTGGAAGAAGGAGAACTCCGTGGCTGTAAGATGTAGGTAGATCGCTCTCAAAGCCCTGGTGATGATAGATCGCTAGTATCGAACCATCGTCATCGCCTTGTCGTTCCCTATCCACCAGTTCATAGCGCAAAGGTCCCTTCTCCGCTGGGTGAACTTGCCAATCAAAATGGCGAGGAGAATTTCCGGAGTCTCGATCTATGCTCATGTATGGGTATCGGATGATTCTCTTTTTCGTTTCCTTCTCCGGCAGAGGGTAACATTCCCGTGCTATAAGTTCACTAGAGGAACCTCCCGAGTGTATCTGCAACGTAACACTCCCATCCCCATTAATCGGCGATGATCTACCAATCTTATCAGTATAAGCTTTCATCCCCACACTCATCAAACTTACACCTCCGCATCCAAAGGGTCTCGACCCATAACCCTCTCAGTAATAGAAACACTAGCGTCGACGTCTACCAGGAACCGAGCGTTGTCACCGGCATGATACCCGCTAGGCTTTCGAAGAAGGCATAGCTCCACCTTGTAACTCTCCGAGCCCATGGGATGAACACCCACTTTTTCGGAATATTCCTTCGAGATGTCGTAGATCGCGAAATGGGAGGCTGTGTCGTCATGTTTGGGGATGTAAAGCGCTTTGGTTAAGGGCGCGGGGACGTGGGATATTATGTCGAGCATGTTTACGGTACTGCGTGGTCCGTGGTGGAGATATGCTGAAGAAATGTCAAAAGCCATTTGGGAGCAAGATATTTATTTATATTCTGTGGTGAAAAAGCCGTTGGGAGTTTTCTCCGATTCTAAACTCCAGATAAGGAAAACAAAAGAAGATCCATTTTACTTGTGACGTTTTATCAAAGCTTGATCTCATGATCAGTCGCTGCCAAGACGAACTAAACAGTTTGTATAACGTACATAGCCACTCATCACAATCACAATTACAACGGACATTTCCTGATAATTTCTAATCGAAGATGAGATTGCTATGTCCGAGTGGGGCTGACAAGTCCGATGCTAACGCAACTCACGAAACTTCCTATTTGGGTATTAAGACGGTGACTAAGAATAGAAGAGTCCGATTTTATCGGGGATGACATGTCCGATTTGGAGTAAGCACGGCATGTGAATGGCTTCGAAATCGGATTTGGCTGGGATGGTTTTGGGGGTTAATAAAAGCCACGGTCCCATACTTTTCCACCGTTAAATTTGGTTACATTGATGAGATGCTAAGCTGACATCGATTCATCTGCCACTGGTGCCATTTCAAGCTCGTCTATAAGTACCAAGACTTTACTTCATCTTTCATCCTCCTGGTACTCCACGGTTGAGCAACATCATCTCGAAATCATCACCATGTCCACCAAAAAGTCAATGCGGTCCATCATGGCCAGAATAACAGGCCAACACCGCCCTCGCCTTACAATACGGTACATCTCCCAACTCCAATCCTCCGACCCCTCGCTGACCTTACAGACCGGACTACGATTACGTCTTCGTCAGCGGAAACGGCGAAGATGCAAAAGGCCAATATCTTCGCGGAAAGCTATCGCTCTTCATCCCAGAAGGACAAAACATCACCAGCGTTCATCTAAAGTTGACTAGTCGCATGTGGCTTGGGTAGGTTCATCCCGAAGAGAGGCTGACGCGGGAGCTAACGGTTACGCTTAGAGATCACAAGGTTGACGCCGAAGAGGCTGTGAAGTGGCAGCGGGGTGAAAGCACAGTTCATCAATGGGAGCCATTCAACGTCGTCGATAAGATCGGAGAGCCGTTCAAGAATGGCAAGAATTTTGAGTGGCCTTTTGAGCTGTTCATTCGAGGGGATCAGGCGGAGTCATTCAAGGGCTGTACGCGATGCAGTATAACATATCTACTGGAAGCTTGGACGGTTGATGGGCATTCGTCGGATAGTTTCAAGACGTTCTCGCCGATAAGGATTATTCGTACACCCGGGTTCTCATCGTACGAACTGATGGATCCGACAACAGTGCAGGGGAAGTGGTCAGAAAAGGCGGAGTACAACGTTTCCATTCGACATCGAGCGATTGCACTGGGAGGGCTGATTCCTATCGAAGCCAACCTTGCGCCGCTCGACCCGGCGGCGAAGATTACCAAAGCGAGGTTCTTCTTGCGGGAGAAGCACGATGTGGAGAACGAGTCTAATGCAGAAGGGCCTGGGTATGAGGGACAGAGGATAGTGACGGAATGGCCGTTGGAGTTGAGCGACGAGCCTCAGCAACGATGGCAGCAATGCTTGCACCTCCCAATCGCTGTGAGGAACTGTTCACCTGACTTTTCAGTCTGCGGAGTGTCTATCACACATTCCTTACACTTTGAAGTTACGGTGACCAACAATGGTGTCACGACGGAGGAGGAGGTCTCGATGCCTATACATCTCTTCATCTCGCCAGAGTTGCCAGTGAATGGCTGGGGTGTTTTCGTGAGGGAACATGTGATCGCGGCAAAGGAGGTTAAGAGCCTTTTGGCAGAGGGCATCAGTGTTCCTCCGAAATACTGCAAGGGGGACTTTGTGGTAGAGGATTATGAGGTCCCGCCTCCAGCATATAGTGAAGCATGATGGGGATAGTACTCAGATGGGAGGGACAATTTATTGAATGCATATAGCTGTGAGATTATACCACGGATATGGGCGAGCGTCTGCTTTACCTACGACACCAAAATTAATTACTACCAATTTATCAAGTCATCATCGTCGTAGCATCATCAGTCTGTGGAGTGATGTAAGCTGAATCCCAGAGTTCCTACTCCAATTAGTGATGCCCTCGACAAGCAATACGTCATTACTTACCCAGTCAATTCCATCGGGCCTAAACCAGTCGACATTGGTCGCCCAGTCTTCGAACCTAAGCTCGACGTCTTCAGGCAAGGTCGGTGCAGGATCTCGTTTCGAAAGATAAGATCTACTTAGGTCAGTCTCCATTTTTGATGATTCAGTTGGTGATAACAGTCTGGGACGACTTACCGAAGACAACGAATAACACGATAAACACTCGAACAAGCTGGACTCTTCATCTTAAGCGCCTCCATTCTCGTTATAGCAGCATCAACGGCAGATATATGCTCCGTCAAATCAGAGGTATCAGGCATATCAAGCATACATGAAGTCAACGCCACAGCTCCATGAAGTGCATTGCAGCTAATAGCGCCCTTAACAAGCCAGCGATAGCATTTTAATCGAGGCAGTTCGTAGAATTGGTGATGAACATCAAGCAAGGCAAGACCTGACTTGATGCACTTGTCCCGCGATTCAGCGCGGAAATGGCTTGCCTTGGAGCTGTGAAAAGGTCGATGAAGAAGAAGGTAGAGTTGATGCGCGTAGGTTTGGAGCATACACCAATGAGCATAGCCCGCTGTGTTGAGAATACTCCGACGACCGTTTACGAGATATGCGGCATCCCATTGTAATTGCTCTTTTGCTACAGCCGTGTCGTACTGATGCAGTATTGTCATGTTCAGTTTGTCATCGCCAGAAATATGAGAGCAAATTTGCGTCGAAAGCTGGAATAGCCGAACTTGGAACTTCAGGAGTGATGTATCGGTAAACTCGCAGGGCGAATCCTTAGGCGATTGCTTTATACTGTGTTCCTGGATATCTTTGTCGTTTACCCACGCCGGCATTGTCGCTTTCATGTTCAACAGGAACGTGAGGTCGATGTCTCTGAAGCAGAGAGCTTGGTAAGTATGGATGATCAAGATGCCTGCCCAGCAACGGCGCCGGCGCTCTTGCTCAATATAATTCGGTCCTTCGATGTCCGTGTGGCAGCGCAGAGCGATGGCGATGTTGAGTGCACTGCCGAGAAGTGCCCAGCCGTACTCAGGTCCTTCGTTATGAGATATCATATGAACCAGGATAAGAAGAGCTTCGAGAGTGCTCAGATCATGGCGAACTAGGAATTGATCTTGTGAAAGGGCCGTCATAGCTGCATTTCGATACTTCTGCGACAATACCGATAAATCTCGTGGGATGGTGGTGTCTTGCCATAGCACAACAAGCCCGGCGTCTGTTGGCTCAATTGTTTTGAGAGTCAACGAGATTATGGCGAAGAGAACAGCCAACCACGATAAACTTGTCTTCTCGGGGGCTCCTAGGAAGTCCAAATATTGGGTCTGGAATGTTGGACCATGGAGAATATGGAACAGTGACGAGAGTGTTCCGAAATAGCGGCAAACCAAATACTCCGTCACAGACGTCGGAGGTAAAAGCGCAAGCAATTCAGTGATTGGAACGCAAGGCCCGAAAGACAACGTAACAGTTGGATTCGGTGAGTCCGGTATAACACTCCTCTCGACAGATGGCCGACGCAGAATATGATCCCAACGCTGCTGTATCGGCTCAGGCGTCGAGCTCGGAGATGACACTGTCTCCGTTACCTCCACGGATTGAACCTGTATCTGCTGCTGAGGCACTGGCTCAGCAACCTCAAGTCTAGTCCTTCTTCGCTTCTGCGGTCCAGTAAAGTTTGATCCATAAGCACAAGAGTCCTGCCAGCCTCGTTTGAGGCATGTAGCGCACGGTAATCCCCGGTCGCATTTGAGCTTGGAGTGTCTGCAGGGATCGCAGTTCAAGGGTTTTCTGGGGCGGCGCTTCTGGGCTTGGCTGCGGTTTGGGGAGCTGGAACTGCTCGGACTTAGTTGTTCCATTGTTAGGTGAGTATGAGAGCATGAATTGGTGGAAGGGGGATTGTGATGTGATGTCCGAGAATTGAGATTGAAGAGTAAGCAAAGCAAAAATCGGAGTCGGGATCGGAAATCGGATTTAGGCTGATAGCAGTGATTACGTGGGGTGCTAAGCGAATCAGCGCGAAGCCCTGTCAAGATCGGATTTGTCGCGGGCTCATAACAAATTGGACTGGTTACCCGGAACCTCTCGAATAAGATATGTGCCAATGCTCATTATCGGTATGAGGCTTAATCAAAGCCAAGGCACGGTGAGGGCGGTACGACATCTGTGACTTTTATGTTATGTTCCTTCTAGAATGCTGATACATGTGCTCGATAGAGACATGAGACAACTGTGGCATGGCGGTCAGTCTGAAAAGAAAGCCCTGTGGCTTAGCGGAATCTGCCTCACTAATGAGGAGAAATCCCGTCCCTCAACACCAGTTCATTATTCTGCCTTGTCGCCAGATGGTAGGCATACCACACGTAGATAGAATAACACAGTCACGCAATGCCTTTCTTCCCCGACTATTAATTGTCCTTCCTCGCCTCGTCTCTTCAAAAATTTGCTAGGGTCTTTCTGCCCAGTATTGTTTCTATCCCCTCTCTCCGATTGGTCTTCGAGCTCTGCTATTGCTCTTGAACTGACCGATCGGCATTATGGAATTCCATCAACATATTTACTTGCCTCTGGACAAGACCAAAAAAAGCATCAGGTTACTGCAAATCAATCCATCGCAGCCGAATGATGCCTCTCTCACATCTACCCTAACACCTTTTATCGTGGACGAAAAATGTCCGCCCTACATTGCACTCTCATACACTTGGGGTAGAAGGCCGCCCAAGCACGAAATACAGGTCAATGGCCACACCTTTCAAGTTAGACCCAACTTGTTATCAGCCCTGCGTCAGTTACCGGACTGCAGAGGGAGAGTCGACGCCAACTATTTTTGGATCGATGCCATCTGCATCAACCAAACGGACACGAGCGAGCGAAACCACCAAGTCGCTATGATGAGAGATATTTATTCGCGCGCAACGGCTGTATTTGCATGGTTGGGACCCGGGTTTCCTGATTCCGACCTGGCAATGGAAGCTTTGCGACATAACGAGCCAGGGCCAGACAATGAGGCAGAGCCAGCTACCGCGCCGTCAAGATTAGCCTTGAATAAATTATTCAATAATCCTTATTTTACGCGCTCATGGGTAGTTCAAGAATTCATCTTGGCAAAAGACCTCTGGATTCTTTGTGGAGCTCAGATGTGCAGTTGGACTCAGTTCCGAACAACTTTATTATGGAACTCACAAACCCAGTTAGTTCGTGATCTTATTCAGGCTAAAGCTAGAGATCTTGGAGCCTTCGGTCGTCGACCCAGATCTCTTGCACCTCTAGGGTTCCTCGAGGCGATATCAAGGTTCAGTTACAGAGACTGCTCGGATGTCAGGGATAAAGTATACGGACTCCTCGGCATTATCCCTGAATGCGATATTCACTCAGTCAACTTAAAAGTCGATTACGACATATCAGTTGAGAGGTTATTTTACTTAACCTTCAATTGGCAACGTGCAGTCAATAGTTGGATATGTTTCGCGCCTCGGAAGGCCAAAGTCAATCTTTATGATACTCTGGGCAAGATGCTACAGGTCAACAGTGAGATAGTCTATGCCCAGAAACTAATGGACCAGGTGGTAGCATATATTTTGTATCGAGGAATCCCTGAGCCCTGGCCGAGGTCGTCTCATCCTGACTGGTCTATGGAATATTTCGAAAAACAAGCTTACAGTTTATTGAAGTTGGCGGAGATTGATGTCAATGGAGTTATCGGTTTGGACGCGGCTTTTGAGCGTCTGATGCAAGACCCGAAGATTTCTGGGGGCCTTGACGATCCAGCAGGTTGGCGGGCATATGAGCCCGAGATAAAGGCTGCATTGAGATTAATCAACGGCGAAAGGTGGGAAGATGTCGGCCCTATCTTACCGAGAGAAAAGCCTATATGTTGTTGTTGCTCTTCTGGTGACTATGATTTTATCAGGTTTTCAATATCTAGTTACATATAAATAACGAAAAGATTACCTGCTAACTCGAGCCAGGGAGAGGCTAACTAAGCCTACTGGCTGTGAATAGTTTTTTAATATTAGTTTAATAAGTGTTTTATTTATATTATATTGAGGAATTTAAGATACTTCCTTAAGAATTAGTATATAAAGTAACTCTTGGGTTACCTTAACTTAAATATAGAACTACTACAAATGCCAGCTGCTTAAAGGTTACATAAATAAGAGAATTACTATAATCACACTCCACTGCTCCGACAGTGAGAACAGCCCAAGCTCTATTAAGGTCTTGTAAATAGACCCTTATAAGCTCCCTGAGCCTAATCTGGGTTCACCACTCTATTAAGGTCAGATTTAATATATAGCTTATGACAAATTGGGCTACCTGAAACCTCTGGATACTTAAACAATCCTTAGGGCTTGATTCACTTGATGGGAGATAATTGCATTTATCTTGGGTTCGATGTTGAGGAAGAGCGGGCGCATCGGCGGAAGTTGATGAATGAGCGGACTGCGGAGAAAGCGAGGTTTCATTGGGAGTCGATTGACTATAACTTCTGTGAGCATTGATTGGATCTTGGCGTCAGCGTGAGAAATCTGTTGAGAGCTGAGAAAAGGCAGATGATGCGATCATGGTACCTTTCACAGATTCACGTAATAGCCTCATAGAGGCAGCCCACTACTGAAAGTATCACAAAGATTATGCCAAGCACACATGTTGTACAACCAAGCCTCAATACGAATCACCATAGCCTAACTAGGACATTACCGAAGGTCTCTCCTCTCTCCTCTCTCCTCACATCCAGCTATATGCAGCGCTGTATATGACATGTGTAAATCACAAATCCCAAAATATTATATCATCTATAAATGAATACGAGACGGCATTAATCTCGAGATGATCTCCCCACCCAACCATATCGTGATTCATGTCCAAGACAGAATCCTCTCATGATCGACGGCTGACTTGTCTCAGATACTGACCTCTGAGTGGTCGCGGAGAAAAAATAAGAAAGTGGTCGACATCCGTAGGACGAGGCCAAGAAGGCTCGTAAATTTTGCAAGTGCTGACATGTGCATCACACGACATGGGGGCCGAGAGGGGACTTGGGGAAATGAGGCGCGATGCTATTATTAGAGGGTTGACGTATGCAAATAAGAGAATCGACAAAGTATAAAAAGACCATCTTGAATCTCAAACCTGATGATATCGATATCAGTTCATTCACATCTCTTAAACATCAGAACTTCAATATCATTCATCACCATGCATTTCACAACCCTCCTCAGCGCCATCGCGCTCGCCACAACAGCAACATCCCAACCAACAGCACGTCAAGCTCCTACAGCCAACGCAGTCATCACGATCGTCAACTCGGCCGATCACAGCCGTCAACCCGTCAGAATTCCTCTCGCGCAACTCACCACTCTCGACTACCAAGTCACCGAGCTGCGTCTCGAGAGTCTCAACGTCAATATCCCCGATATTGAATCACCTGAACTCAGCGATGTTGTTTGTCAGCGGTATAAAGATAAATATGGTGTTCAGCTTGGCAGCGTTGAGTTTAGTCATGAGAAGCCGGCGCTGATAAGTACCAACCCTGTGGAGTTTGGCTGGGTTTTGTGCTATCATAAGGATAGGGCTTGAATGCTGGAGATAGAGGGAGGAGAGATGGGGTTTAGATGGGAGATTGGGCTTGGGGGAATTGAATACAGTTACATAGTTATAAATCGCAAGATTATGCACCGTCATTTTTGTCCCCAGCCTGTCACGCAGATGCTAATAAGGCGGCATTATTAATGCTCGTAGGGCTTAGCAGGTCCTTCGGTTGAACTCCCACCGTCTAGCCAATCATTATGAAGAAAGCCGCCGGATTTGAAATCACGTAACGCTGAATCTCGAACCCTATTGGTCGGCTCGTAGGGTCATCGCTCGTAAGGAAGATGACGTCGGGGTCTTGAAGTAATTCTCCGATTTCTTCCCCCAAAAATATCTGCAATGGCGCTGATTATCAAGCATCCCTAGCCATATTTTACGCTGTATTATGGGGACTCAATGCAGAATTAGTGATTCAGTCGCCGTTTCGTATGGGCATTTGGGTTTTTAATCATCTTGACTATTGCTCCGAATGCCACTTCGCATCAACATTCGCTTGATAATCTACAGGCAATGAAACATTGTCGCCTGCCGTCCAAAATGTATTTGAAGACACGATTCCTCTGTACTTTAGAATCTCTCATCACAATGCAATCACAAATCAATCTGCATCTCTTTTAACTCAAGTACCCATCCCTTGACAATTATACCCTACTCATCTCCATCAATACCCATCATGTCAACCGAATCAAAACTCTGGCAGCCCCTCAAGCTAGGCAACACCACCCTCTCCCATCGCATCGCCCTCGCCCCTCTAACCCGCTTCCGCAACTCCGACGACCATCTCCCCCTCTCCCTCATGATAAAATACTACGCCGACCGCGCCTCAACCCCCGGAACCCTCGTCATCAGCGAAGCAACCGGCGTTTCCAAAACAGGCGAAGCAGTCCCCAACCTACCAGGCATAACCTCCCCGGAGCAAATTGAGGGCTGGAGAAAGATATACGATGCTGTTCATGCTAAGGGGAGTTATATGTTTCAGCAGCTTTGGGATCTGGGAAGGGCGGGCGATCCGGATTATTTGAAGAAGAGAGGGTACAAGTACTCGTCGAGCAGTGCGGTTCAGATGGAGGGGAAGAATGTGACGCCTGAGGCGTTGACGGAGGAGGAGATTTGGAAGAAGATTGGGGAGTTTAGACAGGCTGCTAGGAATGTGGTTGATGCTGGGGGTGATGGTGTTGAGATTCACGGTGCTCATGGGTAAGACTGTCATTCCTCGCAAATTGATCAGCTTACTGACAATGGTCGCTACAGATATTTGATCGACCAATTCATCAGCGAAAGTATCAACAAGAGAACCGACAAGTGGGGAGGTTCCGTTGAGAACCGCGCACGCTTCCTCCTCGAAGTCATCAAAGCCACTGTCGAAGAAATCGGCGCTGAGCGAACCGCCCTCCGCCTAAGTCCCTTTGCAACATACCAGGCCGCATATACCGCCAATACTTGGGACCAATTCGGCTACATCTTCAATGAACTCAAAAAGGCTGGATACAAGCTCGCTTACGTCTCGCTCGTCGAGCCCAGAGGTAACCCCGCTACGATCCTCGCAACACCAAAGGATCTTGCTTCAGATAAGGTCAGTCCCTTTGGGGACCGGAAGCAAAGCCTTGAGTACTTTCTTGAGATGTGGGATAATCAGTCCCCTGTTATTGTTGGAGGTGGATATATCCCGGATAATGTTCATGATGCGGTTGATGGGAGTTACAAGAAGTGGGATGTTGTTGTGGCTTTTGGACGATGGTTCATCTCGAACCCGGACTTGGTCTACCGACTGAAGTATGGGGTTCCTTTGACGCCTTATCAAAGGGATACCTTCTATGCTCCCAAGACTGACAAGGGATACAATGACTATACGTTTAGTCAGAAATATTTGGAGGCTACGAAAGCGTAGACGGGTGACTGATGGTTGTGGGGATAGAACATTGTCATAGAGCAGCGTTATAGAATTACAGAAGCCTACATAGAATATTCATCACTTTATGGAGTTTGACCATCGATCACAATTGGCCATAGCCATTGACTATATCTTACTTGTTCAGTCTAGGCGCCCTCTCAGGATCCCTCCACCAAAGACAAGCCTCCCTCCTAATATCATCCTTCTCAACCTTCGTATCCCCCGGCTGCACAACAATCTGCTTCGGCTTCCTCTCCCGTCCATTATAATTCGGCCACTCTGGACTTCCAGGATATCTATACTTATTCGGATCACCCGTCGCAACAAAACTAGCCAAGTACCCATGATAAACATGGCTGATCTCAGGATACTGCGTAGTAGGTTCATCCCACGTAAACGCCGTGTCAGCGGTGTGAGGAATACCCTGCCACGCGGGGAAGCTGTTGTTGGTGTTGAAGCGGACTTTCCATGTTGGGACTCCGGCGGTAGAGGTGCGGTAGGCGGTTTCTTGGCTCGGGCAGATGTAGGCGTAGTCGCTCCAGGCGGCGGAGATGCGGTTGTATTGAGTGCTATTGGGGGAGTTGGCGAATGGTGAGTCTTTGTACTTTGCGGGATCGGGGTATAGAGCGGATAGCTCTTTTAGGTCTTTTTTGGTTAATGCTGGTGAAATGTTGTGGAGATAATCGAGGAATTCTTTGTTGGTCTCGAGATCGCCGGGGGTGTAATATTTGGCTTCGTCGGTGACAGTAGAAGTGATTGTCGGGACGTGGAAAAACGTTCCGTCGTAACCAGATTGAGAGCCAGGTTTCTCAAAGAGGGGCCCACCATGTACCGGTTGAAACGGCCACGTTAACTGAGGGTCGTAGTCATGATACAGCTTGGTGCTGATATTTCTGATAGCATTAACATCCGCTCCCTTCAGACACCTGAGCGTTGCCTTGTTTCCCTTCTTCTTGTCGCATCCAAGGTACGTAATATACTCATCATACTGTCGCTTATACAAAGGATACGTATCATTCGGGAAAGCTCGCGAAGTGACCGAACCAGACTGATGAATCGCCCGGGCAAACAACTGCTTATTATCCTTCCCATAATTGTGAAAGTAATGGATGCCCACTGAATGACCACCAGCAGAGCGACCACCAATAGTAACAGCATCCTTATCACCACCAAACGCACCAATATGCTTCTGCACAAACTCCAGGAAAAAGCGCTGATCTCGAATACCTAAGTTTGCCAGACCCTCTTCTTGGAAGAGCTTGGATGGTAGAAAGCCGAGAGAGTTGACGCGGTAGTGGAAGTTGACTACCACGATGGGAACTTTAGACGAGGCGGCGAACGCAGCGCCGTCGAAACTAGCCCAGCTGCCAGCGTAGAAAGCACCGCCGTGGATCCACACAAGTACAGGGAGTTTCTTGCTAAGAGGTACGCCCTTGGGTCGAAACACGTTGAAGTTGAGACATGCCTCGCTTTGTGAGTCGAGAGGGATTCTGGATGAGACTTCTTGGACACAAGCTTTGCCGTAGCTATCCGCCTTCTTCACGCCCTTGAACTTGTCAGGCCAAGAAACAGGGTGGAAGCGATGATCGCCTGTAGGTTGAGTGGCGTAGTCGATACCCAACCAAGCATCGACAGGCGCAGGAAGCTTCTGCTTGGTAAAAGTGCTGTTGACGGTTGTACCGGAGAAACTACCGTAGCCGTCAAGCTTGACGGTGTTGTAATGTCCTCCTGTAGCCTGCGCAACAGGTGACAAGGCCAGAAGCGTTCCGAGGTTTGACAGGACCTTCATGATGATGGAGGTGTGAGAGGACGAAGGAGGGAGAAAAGAGGGAGCGGATCGTGTTTATATATCGCGCGGCCAATGCCATTTAAGCTTAAATCCCCCGCATGTCAGTCGACAGCGTTCCCGATATCGTGCAAGAGCCGACATGGACGGATACAAACGCGTTACTGGTGGAGTATGGCATCATCATCCTCGGTTTGCCGGGTTTAGAAATAGGCCCGACATTAGTTGCCAAGTCATTGGCTTGCGAGCGATGATCACTTTATCATAATGGTCAAGAATTTGGTGAGGATATTCAGTATCGCCAAGGGTTGGTGATCAATAGGGAGGGATGTGATTCGCTAGTTTAATCGACGTTCATACAGTACAAGAGGGGTACAGTTGACGCCAGGCGATGTCGATGACCCTCGGGGGGGCAAGAAAATATCAGACCTTGACATCTGGGTTTACAATAAAAATAGCAAAAGGCATCCTAAACTCATACTAATTTATAGTAAAGTCATGCTAAACTTATACTAAGTTGACTAAGTCTCTCTGTCATTCAGGATCCAAGTCCCGACTTTCCACAGTTTAATCCACGTTATACTAGTTTGCAAGGGGTACAGTGGACGCCAGGGATTCTGGGAACCTCGTACTCTTTCTCAATCTGCCGTCGGGACTCTGGATCAATGACCTGAGGGGGCAACTCCAAGAGTCGAATGGCGTGGCCGGGAGATATAATTTCCCACCTTCCAATCCGTCTCTTCTCTGTCCTTAGGCATGGTTGCCCATGCTTCCTTGCAACCTCTTCCCAGGCCCGTACCGTGTCGGGATCGAAGTCCAGGTCCACGGTGCTGCACCAAGCAATTGTGGCAGACAATTTTGTTCGACGGTAGGTGAACGACGTGGCATAACGCCCTCTCTTTGTATTCCACAACACCATGGTTTCGAGGCGCGGCATACGCAGCGCAACCTGAGCAGCGTCTTGTAGGAGAAGCGAGACCGCTCCTGATACAAGATCGTCCGTGAACTCCGCGGTTGTCAGGATAATAGTTTCAAGGCTTTTCCACGTCCAATCTGGTTGACAATCCGAGAAGAAATCTTCCGCTAAGGCCAAAAATGATACCGACAATACTTGGAGGTCAAGACTCCTCGCGGCGAACTGTTCCGTGTTTTCTCTCACCCAACGCCTGTAGTCGACATAATCACGGGTGGAGCCATAAAGCAATCGAGCAGGTCGCAGGTAATCAAGGCAGAGATCTTGAAATACCGTCAATGTTCGCAGTGTACTTGGGTGTATATTCGCGATCAAGTCATCTGCAGTGCGCTTCAGTATAAAAAGCTCATTCAATGCAAGGCATCGGATCAACTGACATTGTGGAGGGTTGGTCGCCGGGTTTTGGGATGTGATATCACTAGCGTTGCTGTGCGCCCACGTCTCGAGATGGAGATGCAGTAGTCTGGGACAAGCGTTGACCAGTCTGGCAATGTCTGAAGGCCGGAACCGATTTCGACAGTAACGACGGATAACGAACTTCGTGACTGCGTCGGCGGGGGGTAATTTCAGGGGGTAGCCGAGAGATATCGGAGGAAAACAGCAAACTATTGCCCACGCAAGAGAACGCCCCAGTAATTTTCTCCAGCAGTGTCTTTCATCGGCGGTGAGCGTTGGTATCCGGCGCGATTCCCCAGGGCAGCCGATAAACCAATTCTTGAGCCAGTGAGCCTGTTCTTGGGGGCAGTAAGCGTTGAACTCTAGCGTCAAGCCTCTCTCACAGCAGCCCCAGGAGCTCAGAATTCTGAAGAGTTGGTGGATGTGATCTTCTGCGTTTGGGACTGCTGCGGCATTGAGTATCGGGAATGGGAGGTTGCTTGTTGGGAGACAGCTAGGGCAAGGGGGGCCGGTGATTTCCATGTTGAACCAAAGATGCTTTATTGCAGCTCGTGGTTGTGTGCTCAACTGCGCTAACCCCGCGAGACCATGCTGGCAGACAGTCAGTTTGCGGAATGTTTTCTCTTCCATGAATATCCGCCATTCTCTGCAGACGGTAGCATAGACATGCTTGCGGCGGGGCTCGTGGCATAGAAAGTCTAGAATGTAGCGCCGAATTTCCGCAGGTAGTCGATCCCAGCTGAGCGTCACGGCTGTCGTTTCGAGCGTGGTGGTGTTTCGGGTGGCCTGCGATGGTGCTGGTTGGAATAGATCTAGAAAGCGATAAAGACACTGCGCCATGCTGAATAGAGAGATACCGGAGAGACGATGTCGGAGTTAAAGCTTTTGTTAACTTGATGTGATGATGCTCTGCACAAAACGTATCATAAAGTATGATAAGTTTAGGATACCTTTTGCTGAGTTCGTTTCGACACTCCACGTCAAGATCGGGTGCCTCTTGCTTGCTTAGCTGCTTCCATGACTTGACCAAAAAGGCGAGAGCACTTCCTTTACGAATCGGTAGGAGCGAATCTAAACACGGCAAGATCAGTCGCATCTTTGCAAGTCAGGCAGCATTTTAGAAGACACCAGGCAGAGATTCGCAGTCTGAGATGCCTTTGTGAATGGCGTGGCCGAGAGAATTAATTTCCACCCTTCCAATCCATCTCTTCTTCCGCATTTCTGGCCTTGGACATTGCAGAGGGGGAACTGGGGCGAACACGGTCGGCAACAGCTCACATACCTTTGACACTTACGAACCCGAGACCAATGTTCTGGCAGCTATCGTGGACTGGGTTGAAAACGGAAAGGCGCCGGAATTCATCAAAGGAGCGCAGTATGCCTCTGATAATAAGGGCTTAATTGGGAAAAGGAAGGATTGTCGATATTCCCGACGAAATGTGTATATCGAGGGCGACCCTGCATCCCCTGACAGCTTCCAATCAGAAGACATTGTCCCTGCGCAGGGAGGTTAGGGTACTGGGAAATCGTCAAGGCCACAGTAACAGTCTTGTGGAATGCTGCCTCAACATAACATCCATCACTCGACGAGGTACCTGGATTTATCTACCGATATTGAGAGGGTGAAAAGCCGAACCAACAGAAAGAGCTGCCTGTCCTCTTTTGATAAGTTATCTTACGTCTGAGATAACCTGATGAGATAGAAATTGTTGTCGTGAAAGGCCTCTTTGTCCGTACTACTAAGAGCCTGGCAAAAGTGCTGGCAAGCCCGAGAGATTACGTGACTCACGATCCGCGTTCAACTCAGCCCTATTAGCAATATAGTTCAATGCCGTCTGAATCAAATATAGTGATCTCTTGGAGAGGCCCCAGCAAGTTCAGATGATGAGGGGCATCTACTCTGTTCCAGATGTGTTGTCCCTTGGCGACAGAAACAATCATACGAACTATTCGCTGGACGGGATAAACTCAACTGACTTTTAAGAGGGGTTTTGTGACTCGGGTATTTCACAAAGACAATCTCATCAAGTGGGTATCACGATGGATGCTTGTAACATATTCTTTGCAAGAGTACCTCGTGGCAACATTTCTGGGTGCGGCAGGAGTTTATTCTTGCCGCTGAGGAGCTCGTCTTAGGGTTATACACTATGGGTTTACATACTTGGGAGGGCGGTCGGCACCGGGCAGTTTCTCAACTTTTCCAACGATCTCGTTCAGATCAATTCCGTCAAAAACTCGCAGGTTCACCGGGTGCAATGGGCTGATCATATCGTAGAGCTTTCTGTCGCCGTCCGACATGGCGGCTATGGCTTCATCAGACTGAAGTACAGGCTTGTTGGTTAACTGAACGCCACACATCTTGCAAAAGGTTTTGGCGAGTAGAGTTGAGCCTTGAAAGAAATAACAGCCAATGTCGTTAGAGTCGTTGTGTAGAACGACGTGGTCACGGTGGGGCCAGACCCAAATGTATGCATTCTGGGGAATTGTCAGAACAGTCCAAGGACCAGATGGTTTGAAAAGACCTACTCTGATACAAATGCTACAGTTGCATTCTCCGATAGTGTCGGGAAACGTGCCGTCTATTGGCTTGCTAGCCAAGGCCACCTGAACTGCACCGCAATGACAGCTGCCGTTGTACACATTACCGCCGTTGATTTGCTCCGGGGGCTGAGCTCCAGAATACAACGACGCCTCGTACTTGTCCCCCAAGGAGGCTCCATCAATGCTGGTGTGATGTCAGCATCTGGCAATACAACCAGAAACAGGGAATAACAACTTACAGTTGACGCTCTAGCGACCAAGCATCAAGACCTTGAATTGAGCGCGCGTTCAAGCAAAAGTTCGAGTTTGGAGGACCATTAGGCATGGTGATCATGATGGCGGTGCCGCATTGAGGGCAGAACTTATGGTGGAGTTTGCCCTTGCTGAAAGTGTAGTTTGTCAAGTCTTCAATTGAGCCCTTGACCGTCTTGAGACTATTAAGACTGCGAGGGGAGAGCAACAGGTATCCCTTCTTGGTGCAAATGCTGCAATTACATACCCTCACAGACTTGATCTCTGGAATGGCAATTTCGAAGACAAACGCACCACAGTGGCAACTACCACGATATGTTATGTTTGGTGCCTGCTCCTCAGCCATATCTGTTGTTTTGGGTTGCAATTTGTGTAAGAGATGGTGCAGCAGTGGCATTGGAAAGAAACCAATGTTGTTTTTAACAGATCAGCTGTGCTTAAGTAATAAAAGAGATAAGCATAAGCGCAACGCGGAAACCTCCATTTAATTCATCCGTCTCTTCAGCTGCTGACTATTAGTAAAATTTGTTGAGGAGGATGGTTGATCGATCCCTGCTGCCAAGTGCAGCTTAAATTCGCATTGTGCCTAGCTTAGCGGCAGGGTCTCCGCTTCAGGCGCCTGGGCCTCAACACACCGGGCATCTGCAGCAACTCCAGCTACTGCTGCACTGACAGCTGTCGCCTGTTACCCTCAGTATATGTTTAGCTTGACTGTGGCAGGTATTTTTACCAGGGTGAGAGAACTGATTATTAGATTCGATAAATATCGTAATCTACATAAGCAGGCAAGCAATTATTTCTTCACCCAAACAGTTCCAGCGTCAGACCATCCTCGTTGCGCACATAGACCACTTTCCTGCCGGCATTCGGGCCTTGTTGTAATACTTGCGGTGCAGTAAGCTGAGTCCAGGCTACTTCGTCGCTTTCTAGAGCATGTAGGGTTTCCTCCAAACTTTCAACGGTCAGACACAAATGCCAGCTCCCTAAATCCCAGCTATAAGGCTTTAGTTCCTGTTGCTCGGCCTTCGGTGGCGATGAGTACTCCAGGAGCTCAATAAGATGTCCGCCTGGAAGCTCAACCAAGGCAATATCAATCTCCGCTTCAGGGTGTCCAACGACTGTTGAGACCGGGGGGCAGAGATGACTGGTCCGTAAAATTCGAAGGTTTAAGATGTTTTGGAATAAGTGGATGGCGCGTGGGAGTGATCGCACAGTGATACCAGTATGTGGTGCTTGTAGAACTTTGACTGGGCTTGTAGATGCCATGACGATGGAAATAATCGTTGGCAGGATTTTGATGATTTCATCTGACGATGGGAAGCTGTTTGCTGTGTCTGATATAACCCTTTAGGCTTTACGTTGATTTGTAATACAATCGCGGATGCAGTCGGCGGCATATGAAGAGAAGGGTGGACCCTGGTGGCAAGCGGGGTTATTGAGTATGTTGCGTTGCTTATTAAAAGAGATAATAAAAGAGACCATATTCTCAGTCCCTCCTCCGATGACTTTATGGAACATAGAACCGACTCTGCAGATAGCTCAACAGGACTTTGATTGAACTGACGTTATGAGCAGCTTGTGAGCCTCGGTTTGCTCTTGGTATGAACACGATAGTAGTTATACACAGTTGTAGTCTTTTCTCGACGGTATTTCGACGCTCGTTCACTAGTCTACAAACCCACCCACTCCAGAGACTTATCCCATAATCTCGCCGCTTTCTCAGTATCACACGCATGCTCCCCATATCCTCTTCCATAAAGCGGAGTAGAAGGATCCCACTTGCCGACGATTTGACAGTCCTCAAGATACTTCCCACCTTGACCTTCCAAAGCCTCAGCGACAGCTGCCCAAACACTTGTAGCAGCACCTTGGTCCGGGAGCTTCCAAATTGTTTTAAGATATGGATCCACTGCGAGGCCGCTCTTTTGTTCCTCAGATAAATGTCTTCCCAAATCTGTGAGGACACCGCCTGGCTGAACACTCCACGCATGAATGCCCTCGTTGGCGTACCTCCGTTCGATCTCATTGGCTGTCCAGAGGTTGGCAGTTTTGCTCTGGGAGTATGCTTTGTTGGGATCGTAGCAGCCCTCCATGTTGACGTTGTCAAAGTTGACCTCGCCGAAACGATGGGCAAGTGAGCTCAACATGATGACTCGCGATGCGTGATCAGACGTCACACCTTTGGCCAGAGCAGGTTTGAGAAGTTGGAACAATAGGAAGTGGGCAAGATGGTTTGTCCCGAACTGTGTTTCGAAGCCGTCTTTCGTACGTCCTTCTGGTGTACACATGACCCCAGCGTTGCAGATAAGGATATTGAGTTTCGGGCTCTCAGATAAGAACTTGGTAGCGCATGAGCGAACATTTTCCAGCGATTCCAGATCAAGTTCGAGAAGGTGAACGCGCTCATCTTGCGCGAGGCCACCCAAGGCTGACTTTGCCTTTTCGAGATCTCGAGCCGTTAAATACAGAGTCGCGCCGGTGAGATGTAGGGCTTTCGCGGTCTCAATACCGATGCCCGCGGAACAGCCGGTGATGAAGACGACCTGGTCACTCAGTTTTCTTTCCAGTCCTTCATCCTTGATGATCTGGATAGCTGTTGGGCGAGAATCTCCTGGTCCATTGGGAGACTCATGAATGGTGACGTAGCGATCGGCCATGGCGTTGATATAAGAGAACAAAGAGCTATCGAGAGACTTGAATAATGAAGTAATGAGTTGAGCGAAGAGTAGGAAATGATTCTGGACTTGCAGGATGCGATTGAAGCTGCTATTTACACCGATATTCTCTCGACATGCCGCGTTTCACGATGCAACATGTCCGAGCTGAAACGCCTATGATTCACCACTAGACCCAGCGGGAAACGGACACCAATTAATCCGCTAGCTTTGACGCCATCAGAAAGAAATGATAGGCCAATGGCTTCGGCAGTGGAACAATTCGCTAGATTTCTGATACTCAAAGCCACTATTTCTATCCCGCTCGGCATCAACAGCCGAGCAGCCTCAAACTATATACAGAACAGAAGAATGGGGCTTACCCGTCTAGGATTTATACCTTACTTGGTATACCGAGCGCAAGGGCTCAAACTCTTGGCCTTGCTGGCATCCTTGGGAATAACACCGGCTGCAACAGCAGCTTGATAACACCATCGCCAATCTTTCTTGCCGAGTTCTCCGTCACACTTCCAGGACCAGAAGAACCAGCCATCGCCTTTCTCAAAGGACTCGGCTTGAGCGGCCCAGTAAGCTTTGTACCATGTTTCTTGGCCCTGGATCTTGAACTCATCTGTGTTCTTCAAGGTTGAGTTCACGGACAGGGACCATTCGCCGACAAAGACGTGTTGGCCCATGTTGTCTTTGCAGGCAGTCTCGATATATGCTTTCTTGTTGCCGGCGATTCTGTTGTCGAAGGATAGATAGCGGTGGGCATCGAAGAAGATGAGATCGTCGTCTGGGAGGTATAGTCTTGGGTCACCTGCGCCCCAACTTTTGCCCTGCGATGGAGTCAGCGTGAGATACATGATGACTGTCCCCAAATATGTAACTTACCATGTATTGAATGTGTAGGCGATCAGCCTTGGGGACCTTGAGGTAACCCTCCATAGCCTGGATGCGCTTGTATGCACCAGGGTAATAGTTCTTGATCATATCATCTGCCTCAGCCTTCCACTTGCCGGCGCGTACAGGCTCGTTCAGAACCTCGAGCATGCCGACGGTAGTGTAGTTCCCATTTGTGTGGATGCGCTTGGTCATCCACTCAAGAAACTTGAACGCTCGTTCGTAGTTCTCAGCGGTATAGAATCCAGGATTGGGGATGGACTGCGATTTAGTTAGCAGATACTTGATCAGGCGAGATAGTCGCTTACATGGCCAGTGAATTGCTCATTCGGCGAACTGATACCAGGAGCAGAATGAAGTCCGATAACCGCATAAATACCATGCTTTTTGCACCACCCGACAATGCGATCAAGATGCCAGATGCCGCCGCGAGGCCAGTATTCGCCTTTCTGAATGATATCTTCGTACATCCAGTATCCAACAGGTATGCGAACGGCATTGAGACCGATACTGGCAATCTGCTTGATGTCGTCCTCTGTAATCCAAGTCTCCCAGTGTTTCTTGAAAGCAGCGTTGGCTTTTTCTTGGCCGATGCCTTTGACGCAGGCCCATTCGTCGTTGTAGGCACTGCAGCCCATGTTCTTCCATGATTCTTCGGCCATCCATCGCTCGATGATGAACTGTGAGCCGAGGTTGACGCCGCGGATTTTATCGTCGTTTGGAAGCCATCGTTCAGTGATCTTCTCACCGTTTGCCTTTGCAACAGCTACATAAAGTTAGTATGCATTCCGATGATTGCGTTGATTCACTAACCTCTAGACTGCGGAGTCCAGGCTTCTGCGGCGGCGAGAAAGAATGGCAATACTGATTTGAGATGCATGTTTAAGACAGGTATTTCCGTTCAAACGAAGTGAACCTTTATTTGACTGCACTTGTAGAGCTAAAGAAGAAACATTATACCGTTGAATGTCTTGGATATATATGTCGTCAATCAAGGTTCGCAAGGATTATACTCCATTCACATACCTGCGCAAATGGCCTGATGACAACGGAATACATCCGCCCGATCTCTCCATCCCATACCGGTCTATCAAGCATAGTTCCGCGATGGAGAACGGTCCTCCATCTGATTTGCCGGTCCGACTGATGGATCGTTTCGTTTTGGCATATGAAACGGTCGATCATCAACCTTGATCTTGAACAAATAGGACATTCGTCATTCCACATTCCTCTCGCTTGACTGTCCTGCTGGTTGGCTCGTGCCAGGATTGCAGGATGCAAGCAGATGAAGGACTGCGGCTGAGGGTTGGGGTTTCAGACGAACTCCACTAATAACCCTGTTGGTCTAATGAGAGCATTCCTCACGGTTCACATATCTATTTATTTGAGATGAAGCATGAAACCTTGACGCATAACCTTTCATTTGAGACGAAAGTTTAATGAATTGTCGCCGGTGGTTTATTGAGACCTACTTTCAGTGCTAAAGATTTCTTGTCCTGGGATCTTTTGTTGTTTCGTGGGGTGAGTGGACCGGTATGTTGGCAGGATGTGACGCTGCAAGTTGACCTGTCAATGGCCCATAGAATAACTTGTTCGAGTCACCATGCGAGGTATTTTTGACGTATGATAGTGCCTGCAACAGGAGAGTCCGCCTTGGCATCGGCGATGCGTGTGAATCGAGGTCTATCTTGCAGTGTGCTGGGCGGAACTGCTATCAGATCACCGTGAATAATGCCGGGAATTAGACCATGGTTGCCGAAAGAGGCAGGTCGAAAGATCATGGACCACGTGGGGGACATGAAGGGGTTTTCAGATGGCAGCTGATAATGAACTGGTGAGGCTGAATTAGTAAGGGCATATTACGCAGATAGTAACTGATCTAAAGAGATCCTAATGCCTTCCTCATACGGATAGAGGTCTTGGTGACTGTCGTGGAGACCGTCGCGGAGACTATTCAAACGATTGTTATATGAGATACTCGTTTATGCCAAATGACAAGTATCCTTTCTGATGCTGACTCAAGTTAGATCTCCAAGTGTTGAGAGCTAAGTTGGACATGAATTCTCAATGATCTCGTTGCTGGAGGTGAGCTAGAGCAACAGAGTCAATCTCACATATCTATAACTGAAAAGCCATCACTACGCAGTCTCAAGACATGGATTTTGGCCCTCAGGTTGAAATTACGTTGCAGAATATTACGTGAAGAGCACTGAGGGAATCCGTCAAGTTTGTTGCATGAAGAAACTTTCCTATTTTACTCTACCTTTACTTCTTCTTTTATGTTATCATGAGAGGACAGAGGACATACCCCTGTCAGTACAAATAATCCTGCCATGCAATCTGAAATGCCAGAACGTTCACATAATGGGCACTTGCTGTCCCTTATCAAGCCGCGGGACTTCGTGTTTGGATTGTCTTGGGGCATATCCTTCTCACAATGGAAATAAGCAGACGGTTCTGTGCTCGTTCAAGACCTAACGTTAGTAGAGCCTCCAGGGTTTCAGGATGTCTACGAATATTTGGCCGTCTTCAGCGAAGGCTGCGGCTGTCATGTCTCTGTCTGATGCCATCTGGACTTTGTTCCAAGAATCGTCCCTTATGAGCAGAAGACCAAATCAATCTCGGGAAGCCATGGATAGAGGCCTGATCTGGGCCAGATAGAAATAACTCGAGGAGGCTCGCGATACTTTTAAATATGGCCATCGGCTACGCGGCACAAGTACCGACATATGTTGCATCTTGAGACAGGCTTCCCCTCCTATTTATCCGAAAAAGACTACTATTCCAGTAAATACTTCGTGCGCTGTAACCTCACCCTACTCAACAATACTACACCGCGCCTAGCCACCTCCCAGAACAAGCCAATGACCCGTTATCCTTACCATTCACCTTATCAAGCCCCATTTTCGCCATTGCCCAACTTCCCAATATGTCAATAGTAGCGAAGCAAAAGCCGTTATAAGCGAAAAACTTGGTACAGTTACGGCAGTTCCTCTGATTAAAGTTTTTTCCCGCATGAATCGTAGAGAGGCACGGCTATTTAGCCTTGTTTATGAAACATTTACTAAGCAAATTTCGGTAAAGTACGTCGAGTTTCACGATTCGTCGATCTTTAACCAGATCCTATAGGACGCGGAATGTCTTCCTCCGAGAGTCGTCAATGACGTTTTGAATCTAATGAGTATAAGACATCGAACGATGTCCTCGTTCTCGAATCCAGATTTTTATCTCCAAAACGCGTAAGCTTAAAGAGGAACTCGCCGAGATTGCCGATACGGTTGGTTATCAGATGGAGATCAATAAAATGCGCCGAGTATAGGCCCGGCTAAATAACCGACGTCAATATTCGGGGTAGTAATATAATAGAGTCCGAATTAGGTCGTCCGGGTTATCCAATGCGTGTTTATCGAGTGAGATATTGGTTTTCGGAATGTGGTCTTCCGAATTCCTTGATCGGCGATACGATGTCTTGGAAGCCAACAAACACTCACTTACAGCGAGATAATCAAGATCGAGAATCGTCGATGGATTGTAAATTTGAGATAATAGAAGAAGTCAACTGACTCTTGGAATCTCAATGATCGGCATACGCTCCCGTGCTTCCAGGTATCTCAAAATCTCGGCTCCCACTCCGAAAAGGTCCAACTGCACTGTAACGCTGATCTGGCATGCAATTCCACCATAAGGTCTCAGCATGACATGCCAAGAGATGTTCATCGAGGTATGCAGTGAACGGAGCAAGCGGCTAGACGGGTAATCGGGCCTGTCCGAAACAGGACCCGGAAGCAGGCGGAGATAGTTAGGTTTTGACAGAGGTTTCTGGAGTGAGGAAATAGAGTTTCCCCGTGGGGACTAATGGGATGAATCACGATGGCCGGAGTCGAAGCGGGATGATGCAACTGAAGCATTGGGCGTATGGGTAGTAACCCTGTGATGGGATCTTTGTGTTGGTGTTACTTTGATATCCTGGTCGTGGTCTGGGCCCGCCAGCCTGGTTGGGCTCATGATGGCACGTTGATGTATAAAGCAGGTGTCATCCGCTGGCCTGTTCATAACACAAACTCAAAGCTATATCACCACTACTGCTCTATTCTATAAATGATCACTGGATGATCTCATCTTTGCGCAATCTGCCAATATTTTTGATATCCACTTTGAACATCCTACGATGAACCGTCAAGGGGCTAGTGGCAGTATGTCACTGCTAAACTCCCTCTCACTACTTCTGGCACTTCAAGTCAGCTCAACATACGCTCAAGGCCTTGAGGGTTATGGATTGACTTCATACGACCCTGTCTGCGCCGAAGCATGTCTTCGATCCTTTACTCCCTTGATGCTACCTTGCTCAAGCATGCACGATGGACACATGGCGACTCCACCAGCATGTCGAGCCAACGACACCGCTTTCTTGACATCCGTGGCTTGGTGCTTCAGTGAAAACTGTGTCGATGAAAAGTTGTCCAAGATTGAAGGGTATTGGGAGGAGTGGATTACAGGGAGCAAATTCGTTCCTGCGAAGTGGTCGTACTCGCAGGCTCTCATGGAGGTTGATCCTAAACCACCGCGGTATCAACTCAACATGACAGACAAGGTTCTCAACCAGACATCGATACTTGCACCGGTTGCGTATCTTAGTCAGTGGAACTCGCTTTGGGCGACGAACCATGAGATGATAATGGGAGCACGATATGGGTACGTTTCTTAAAGCCTCACTTAGCAGCTTGTTTAACATTGTAACAGTATCATTCTTGTTGTCATTTCCGTTGGAATACCGATTCTCATGACATGGTCCGGCTATCTCCCTCTCATCCCATCAATCTACGACAAGCTCAAACCATACATCCTCTATCCAAGCATGATCGGCACTTATTCCGTACGCCCTCTTCCATTCAAACTGGGCAATGCTCCCTCTGTTGGTCAAGGTCTATACATCGCCTTATTCCTTGCTCTGGTCGTTGTCTTTACCGCCATCGACTACGAGCTCCGCCAGCCTCATGCCAGGTTCATGGGTGAACGGCGAGAACTACTCGCTTATCTGGTCTACCGCACCGGCGCTCTTGCGTTCGCCTGTCTCCCACTGATCATCCTCTTCCCCTCGAGGAACAATCTCCTGTTGTGGCTATCTAACTGGTCACGTTCAACATTTATCCTGCTTCACCGATGGATTGGACGAACCTTTGCTCTACTGGGTGTTCTGCACGCTATTTTTGTCCTGGTTGGCTCAGACAAGATGGGCACTACAGACTGGAGACGCTGGGGCTCAGTCACAGTCATCTTCACTGTCATAACCTGTCTTGGAAGTGGACTCTACGTTCGAAAGGCCAACTACGAGCTTTTCCTGCTTATGCACATCCTCATTGCTGCGCTTGTCATTGTCGGATGCTGGTATCATCTCATGCTTCGGTACGCCTCTAATCGTCTTCATTCTCCCGGTTACACAACTGGACACGAGATCTGGCTTTACCTTGCAATTGCCCTCTGGGGTTTCGAGCGCCTTGTTCGAATCGTACGAGTAATCAGATTGGGTATTCTGAGATCCAAGGTCAAGGACATTGGAGCTGGTTACGTTCGAGTTGATGTACCAAGCGTTCGCTGGGGCTTGGATCCTGGAAAGCATGTCTTTGTCTACTTCCCAACGCTTGCTCCGATGCGACCTTGGGAGAATCATCCCTTCTCTGTAATTCCTACGGTTGCGCTTCAGCGACGTGGAACCTCAGGTACGCCTGGATCTCCAACCTCACCTGGAGCATCGTCGGGATTGGAGGATATCGAAAAGCCAACAGCTCAAATTGCAGTTGTCAGACAGTCATCCGCCTCAGCGGAGATCTCAGCTGGAGTGACACTCTTCATCAAGAAGTCAACCGGTATCACCAAGTATCTAGAGAGCCATGACCGCTTACTCACCTTCTTGGAGGGTCCTTACCCAGGCAGTGACACACGACAGGTCCTACGCTGCGACAGACTTCTTCTCATAGCTGGTGGTGTTGGTATCACTAGTCTATTTGCACTAATTCACAACCACTGGAACGTCAAGTTGGCATGGAGCGTCAAAGCAGAAGCTCGATGTCTCGTCAACGAGATTGAGCCGGCCCTCGATGCCGTGAATACTGCACAGACGGACATTAGAATTGGTTCAAGGTTCGATGTTGCTGCTCTCATTGATGAAGAGGCATCCGCTGGCTGGAAGAGAGTTGGTATTGTGGTGTCAGGTCCTGGAACCCTTTGTGATGACGTTCGAGCTGTTGTTGCTGGTATTGGACGCCACTCCAAGACTGTGTTTGAGCTTGAGGTGGATGCCTACTCCTGGTGATGTCGATATGGTGTTAGAAGCGTGAGAGGAAAAGACACGTGGTGATTTGGATGTTCCTATTTCGGTAATCGTGCATCATGTTTATGGTATCATGCCAATTACGTACTAGATAATTTACTACATTGCCAAAGCCAAGAATCTTGCTTAAACGCACTTGAATAAGATCTGCAATGTCCCCAGTTGTGACTTATGAAGCCCCGTGCCAACGGTCTGGCGCAATACTCGTTGCATCTTTTCTTTTTCTGCGGTTGCTTCGGCTTAGTCAATCCCAGATACACCTTTAATATTGCCTAAACGGAACCCAGGCCGTCTGTTCCTTGGCTTTCATCACAAGGTCGTCGCAGCACGACATCAACATGCCTGATGCTCACAAGTCATGCAGAATGGCGTCTTATCTCTTCTTCCTACTTCATCCCCGGCCTCATGAATCCTCCGGAGGCCTTCCGATCGATCTTCGGCGCGGCCGGCTCCGTTATTTTACAAACGGTTACAAATCCAAGTGGGATACTCCGAGTGATGAAGGCTGTGAGAAGTCGAACCATTGTCAGCATTGAGATAAGAAGTAGGGTCACAGTCAACATGACTACATGCCACGTGCTCGAACCTTTTAGTCCCGTATCACGGTTCTTGGCTGTCCCGAGCGTGCTGCATGCATACGTGGGCAGGTCCAAAGATTCTGCCGCATATGCAGGTGAGATAATGCAACACCAACCCTCTATAGCCCGCTCACTGTAACACTACTGTGTGCCTCGATCATCCCACTTCGGGCTGGACCGAGAAATCTGGAACCTTCCGGCCTTTTTGTGTGAAACGAGAAGAGTATACAGGCCAAGGTTCCATTGGATACCACCATAGAAGTGATGGCATGTATACTTCAGGTGTTAAGCCAATAACGTCACAAGCTATTGGGTGTCCGGGCTCGGGCCAATTACAGTGTCTGAAGGCATTTTTGATAACACAACTGACGGCCTTAATGGGGATTTTCTGTTTCCTTTGACTCGCGGCCAGCCTTAATAAGCTAGTTCACAATACTCTACAGACCGAGCTCCTTCAAGAATCTATAATCTTGTGACAAGGATGGTTTACTAGCAGATGATTAAGTTCAGATAGAGTATCTTAAGATGGAAAGTAGTTTGGAATTAAGAGTATTGACAATGTCTCCAATCAATCAACAAAACAGCTTAGAGCCCGCACTCTCTCTTAAAAGCTCGCGTGAATGGCTGTATACTGAGGTTCTTTTTTTCCTTTTCCTTAACATCATGCCTCTCGAGATTGATCACACCAAGCTCCAGTGATGAATCGGCCGGGGCTCTTAGTACCCAGTGGGTACTACCTACAGGAATAAGAACAGGATCTTAGTCGGCCATTTAGAAGGATGATCAGTATTCGTTTACTAGCGGTGCCAGTCAATCCTTGACCCAGACTGCCGAGCGAGTAGTAGAGCTTTGAACCGGTTCTTTGGTCCATGGTTTGCAGTAAGTTTCTGGCAGCAGAAAGCTTGCGGGCTTGTATACTTTGTCTGGGTTTTCTTTTGTCGTGATGGTACAAATGTAATAGAAAAGGAATATCGTATGACCAGACAAGTAGCCCGCCAAAGGTTGTTGTATCTGAATGAGATCTAAACAAATTGTTCGAGACGAAACTTGAGGTACTTTTGGACATTTTTGGGATGTGCGCCAAGATCTTCACCAGACATAGAGTGAGCAGTGCTTGCTCAATACATTTGTATCAAGACGACCGTCCCACCCGCTTCAACCATCTTTTTAGGTCAAACTCCCCCTCTTGTAAATCCCTTGGATTCCCGACGAACATGAAAACATGGCCAAATTCTTCAGCAGGTTCCTTTCCATCAGTATACTGAATAAGACATGGCTTGGCTCTGTAGCTGTTGGTCTCATACTCCGCCAATCTCTTCGCATGAGCAACGGACTGCACATAGCAGACAGCACCACTGACTTGTGCATCCTGCGGGCCCTCTTGCAGAGCGGGATACTGTCCCCAGAGTTTCTTCGAGTAACCCACGATCTTGGCGGGTCGTAGTTTGGGTTTTTCTTTCAGTCTGAGGACATCGGCTAGCATTTTTGGATCCATCAATGTTCCGTAGACGAAGTACGGCCCTGTAGGCGGTTCGAGGAGATTGGCTTGGCCTGAAGGACGGTGGAACCAGTTTTCCGGCGCGCTTCTCACTTTTAATGCGAAGGGGGATTTTTTCGAATTTTCATTCTGGAGAGGAGGCGGCAGCGGAGGCGCCGGTGGTGGTTGACGGCGTGGGTCATCAGACATTATATGCGAATCACAATCAGCAGCCGCAGTGAGATATCGGCGCATCAAGATGGCTAGAAGTTCCTAGGTTAATGATCGGACAGTTTTTTGCCCCTGCAGAGTTACAGATATTTGCGCAAGGCTGGCAGGAAAACGGCGAGTTGCTGCCCAACAGCTGTGAATCTGTCATCACTGTGATGATTAAGCAACAAATGCTACGCTACAGGGTAACCAAGACACGGATCGCCGGTGTACAAAGCAAACAAGCGTCATGTTTTTATTCTCCCTGTGACAATGAATTAAATTTACTTGATCAAATCTATGGCGCAACGCCTCCATGTCAAGTCATCGTTAACGATTGAATTGCGGGGTGATGTTGAGCTTTTGGCGGTCAATGAAGTAAAATGCCACCATTCCAAAGCTCAGCTAACTACGCCGACGCTAAACCGTCTTCCGCACCGGCATCGCATCACCATCCTCAAAATAGCTCCAGTCTGTGCGTGCACGCGCGACATTCGTCTATCGTAACAACCGCTGCTATTGATCGTCGCTGTACAACACATTGAGTTCCGCCCGGAACGGTGCGCTCAAAGTCAAAGCGGCGGAGGCCAATTCACCACCAAAATGACCTTTCAACGGCGAGCGATGAAACGGTCCAGATTGAATGCACGCGCCCTGTAAACAACAGCGCCAATTTAGAGTTTGCCGTTCCCAGTTTTCGTTAATTACCTTAGGTAGACAATACGACGCTGCTACGCCGCAGAAACAAATGACCGTCAATTACAACGCTCGTCTTCATCTGAGACAGCGCAAGGTCCCCTGCATGTCAAAATGCAAGGATCGGCGACCGTTTTGCACAACGATCAGACTTGACAGTGACGAAATGAGGATTTTTCAGAGAATGAAAGAGAGAAACCGTCTCCGGTTAACCATTGAAGTCGGCGCCAAACGATTCCCGTTACACGATAGCTCGGTCGTTAGCTCAACAAGCCCTAGTCTTGATCCTTCAACAGCATCACGCCCTCCGGCCACTCACGAGGGATTTGAATGAACCCCAGATCCTTTCCCTTGGGTACACGACCCCGTTCCCCGCAAACCCGGCAATTCGCCTCCCCCAACCCCATTCCCTCCCCTTCGTCTCTCTTCCTCCACAAACGCTCCCTCTCCATGACATGTAACAAACACCATGAGCAGGCATGGCATCGTCCTCGGACGCAGTCCTCACGCTGGCATCGACTGCTATATGCGTCGCCCTCATCGTAGCTAGGTGTCTGTACCGCCTCATCTTCCGCTGCCACATCCACAGAACATGCCACCGCCGATGGCGCATCGACGACTTTTACATGACCATCGCGGTGCTCCCGCTCATTGGGCGCGCCGTGTGTATACTCCTCTCGTTCACGCTGAATCCGGACCATACGTATGATCCTGCGACGGAGGCGGAGGCGCAGACTTGGGGGCAGAGTGTGCAGAGTATTGATGGGGATAGAGAGCTTTCGCATAAGCTGCTCATACCTGCGAGGATATTCTACGCCATGTTGTATGTGGACCGATATGTTTGAGAGGGTATTTGCTGATTTGGATAGTTTGTGGTGTTTGAAGCTGGGGCTGTTGGCCTTTTATTCTCGCTTCATTGATGTCTTTCGCTGGGGCAAACCCGTCACGGATGCGCTCTGGTGGTTCATCATCGCCACCTTCATCGCAGTCTTTATAACAATCCTCGCCGAATGCCGCCCTCTATCACTGTACGTTCTACTCCCATATTGTCTCTAGGCATAGCTAACGAAGTGATAGAATGTGGGCGCTTAATTACGATGACACGAGTAAGCTGCGGAAAACTTTTCGCCACCATGTCAGCTAACATTTACCTCACAGAAGTCGCATGCAATCGCGCCGTCGGCAACCTGATACTAATGGCGGTTTGCAACATAATAATAAACATTGCGCTCATAATTCTCCCGTTTCCGATGCTTCGACATCTACGTCTCGATATCAAGGAGAAACTACAGCTTGGCTTCTTGTTCAGCGTCGGCGCTGTGCTGGTAGCCATTACGATCCTCCGCCTCCCTCTCATCCTCAACGAATCCGTGTCTCAACGATCCCGATCAATGGTACTTTCCCCTCTATTTGGTATTATACTTTTATTAACGTGTGGTAGTGGGCTTCAATTGAGATTCTCTGCGCATGCATCGTCTCCAACACACCCTTCTTCTACGCTCTAGTCAAGGACATGAAACGACAGCACGACGACCGACCGGAACGATCACCGTCGAACGCTACAAATCCAGGTGACTTTGACTTTTACGATCTACATAGTTTGCCGTCCTCAGCGGGTGTGCACATGCCTGCGAGATCATCGCCTGATACGTCGAAATGTACAATACGGTATTTGGAGAATGTTTGAAGGGAGATGTTGGAAAGAGCTGATGGTGGGATAGTTAGTTAATGATACCCAACACGAGAGATATGTTTATGAGGCTTTAATCGCGTGATTGTTGCTCTTCCGATTGTCGAATTGATGATCGGACGAGCGGATGCATTGATCCGACCGGGCGCCGCGGAATCATCGGCCAACTGCGATGTCGCATACTGCGTGATGAACCGCGAATATCTTGATGGTAAAAGCGACCATGAATATACATCAATTATTCGGACACAATCGATATATAATTAGATAGACTTTAATTGAGTTTATTTAGGCCGAACTCTCTTAATTCTGCCAAGGTTGCATCTCCGTTTAATCGGCTCCAGGCTGTTCTTGGCCCGCCGTGATCGGCAGTAGGTTCTATCCTTCAACGAGGTTTCTTATGATACGCTTCACTCAAGAGTCTAGTAAACTTATAAAAGTACACACTATTACGTATAGTCGTCGTCCTTTTAAAGCCTTAAACTTCTCAAAAACATAACGGTTCTCGATGATCAACCATAAAATCAGCGTCGCTGTAAATCCAATACAGTGGGGCTGTTGTCGCGCCAACCCCACGACTCTGTGACATCAGCACTCCATCTTCAAGCATCAATCTCCAAAAATGCCCATCAAACGAATCCATCATCAAATAATGCCAAAACCACGCCAACATGCTTGAACAGCGTGTAGCATCGTGGCTCGCCTCACTTCCTGACGAATACACCCCCTCCCCCTCCGAAGCCCTCTCCAAAACCCCGAAGCGAAAGGCAGCGCTGCCTAGTCCGCCTACTTCAGACTCAATGGAGGGAACAACTCCCAAGCGCCGCCGTCTCATCGATCCGGATCGTACGCCACGCGCTGCAAATCTTCCTCCTCCTTCATTAACTGGTTCATCCGCTTCGTGGTCTGAATCTGGTGAGGGATCGCGCTCGAGTTCGCCGAAGAAACAAATGCTTAGGTTGAGGCTGGAAGAAAGAGGGCTTGAATGCAGACAACTAAATGTTGACACAGCGCCTCCGGTCATATCTAATCTTCTTGATACGATTCAGGAAATTGGAAGTAGGATCGAGATATTGCCTGCCGATAAGAAGAGTGCTATTCTGGACAGTCCATTTTTGAAAGAACAGAATGCGCGCTTGTGGAGGTTTGCGTTCAAAGAGGGTGACGATACGCTACCGGGACGAGTTCCTCTGCCGGAGGAAATAGTTCAAATATGCAATTATGCGCGTCACTGTCATGATACGAACCATGAAGAGGCAGCTTGGAATATGGAAGTGCATCATCGTCTTCTCCAAGCTATCTTGAGAGAACCCGACGCTTCAACAGCCGCGTCTCTCAACTTTACTTCCTGGTAAGCTTCCCAATATCCGGTATCACCAATCCCTAGCTAATTGGTTGTTAGCACCACTGCCCGCCCACATCGCCGCTTCGTACCCTACTCCTCGACAGCCAAAATGGTCGACTTCTGCCTCTACCTCAATCCCACCGACGCCCCCGCCCTCCAAGCTCTCGGCCGTCAAACCCCAACCCTCACTGTAAACCACACCGACTTCGCGCCGCTACAATTATCCCCTATAGTTCTGAGCATCGAGACTAAGCGTCCCGGCAAAGAGCTCGACGCCGCGCAGCTCCAAATGGGGGTATGGCACGCAGCGCAGTGGTCTTTCCTCCGCTCCGTTATTGGGCTTACACCACAGCCCTTGACAGCAGAGGAGGAAATACAGCGGAATCAGAAAGCAAACGAGGTTTTGGGACAATTGGGGTATATACCGGGGATTATCGTGCAGGGTCATCGCTGGCTCTTTGTGTTTTCGACGTTGGAGGGGGATAAGACTGTTCTTTGGACGGAGAGGCAGTTTGGTACGACGCAGAGTATTCTTGATACATATGCCGTTGTCGCGGGGATAAGGGAGTTGGCTAGATGGGCGAGGGATGTTTACGTGCCTTGGTTCAGGGCCAATGTCCTTGCTGGGTTTCAGTCTACTGAGGTTGGATGAGGCTACAAGAAGACAGTTTGGGATGATGGGGGATAGACTTCGCAAGCTATTTGAACCTGGAAAGGCAGAGAGAGTTTGCTGAGCCTATCTCCAATTACACCAGACCTGTCTCGGTGTTTTTACTATCCAGAATCGGGGCGCGCTGAGGGCGGAACTCAGGATCGCTTGTCGGCCCTCCACGTCTATGGGTCAGCCTTCGCAACGATTGATCCAGTGGCTGGCACTTCGAAACTTGGCCTACAAAGGCTCCAACATTCGGTCAAGATCAATCGCACGGGTTGTGACAACTCGCCACCACAATAGGCCTCCCGACTGTTCGAAGCCATGCATCGAAAGACATGATGGGGCGTCACCGAGAATGATTACAGACACTCAATGTCCGCAACTCCCGCGTATCCGCCGACCACTTCGAGACGATCGACCCTACCAGTCGCCGACGCTCCGTCTACCAATGTTGTCTGTGCAGACTGTCTAAGACATCGCAAAATGCATCCTTGCGCTGATGTAACTGTCTGATCCCGACGACTCGAACCAAGCCACGCCGCTTCTCCATGCCACCGCCGACTTATCCATAATAGCAGGGACGAACATCGTCTTTCTCAAGCGATCGACGGCCGATTCCGAAACGAACAACAAGCTCGCGAGTCGCATCAAGTCTGGAGCCAATGAGTACTTGAGCTAAAGACTCCATTACACGGCTCAAGCAAAGATTGAGGTCTCTATGGACCTGCATATCAGCCTGTCAATTGCTGATTGAGTTCACTGGCTGTGCGCTTGTTTGTGGATAGCCACGATCGCCATGCAAAGAGGGCCAGCTGCTCCTGTGAGACCAATATTGGACGCGACACGCCATGCTAGGTTCTCTGTGTCAGAATAAGCTCTTAGCCACAAGTCTCAACTGCAAATAACACTTCTAGCCCACAACTTAGACATCAATGCGATACGCCATGCAAGAGTGTCTCACCAGGGCCAAGAGCAACAGTTCAAAGTCAAACATAGTCTCAATCAATACATATTGACAGCTTGCATAACTTCGTAATCATTATCCCGCGCTACGACACCAACGGCCACCGACGTAAATCCCTACAAACCTCCATCCACGTACACACATCCCCAGACATACCCTCCGCCTCATCCCTCCTCCTCCAAACCTCCACCAACACCTCCTTCGCCGCCCTATAACTCTCAAACCCACTCCTCCCAAACCCCTTATCCAACCACTCCCCAATATCCCTCCTCTGTCTCGCCCTCGCCTCCGCCCCCGCTATGAACGCAGGCCACGCCGTCCCTGGCCCAAGCAGATTATTCCTCTCCAAAGCCTCATCAAACGCATGCAGCGACTCAACAACGTCATTCACACTATCTTGCAGCACCAGGGGATTCACGTTGCGGATGCGGCGGTAGAAGAATATTACCAGTGCTGAGGCTAGGGCGCGTACCATGTGCATGTGTGGTGTTCCGCCTGGGGCGCTGGGACTGGCGCTCATGGTTGTGTTCTCGCTGTGGCGCGAGCGGAAGAGACAGACTGCGTTCTCGAGGTATGAAGCGCGCGGCTGTAATGCCATGAGGGCTTCTGCGTCGGACTTTTTAGAAGTGGACAGACGATCTATCACGTTGGCGAGGCGTGTTATCTGTGATACCAAACTAAGCCACGTCTCTGGAACGCCGTAGATCTGCATATACATATTCTCATGATCCTGCGACGCATCCGCGAGGTGAATATCTTTAATATCGCGCTTCGTCTTTTGCCCGTGAAGTTTTCGCGGTTCGAGATGCAGGAAATTATCGAGTGTCATGTCGGGATTGATAGAGCGAGAGGCTGTCGTGCGGAAGGGTGTTTCGATGGCGTGGTTCTCGTCGAGGTATACGTTTAGACTCTCGGAGACGATGCGCATCCAGGCGTAGATGTTGTGGAGGAGGCGGGCGCGGCGGGATATACTTGGTTTGGTGAGGCCGCGCCAGCTTATGAGGCGCTCCATTTCTGTGAGACACCAGCGAGTGTCTGTTTCGTTGCCGGAGAGAAGCTACTATTGTCAGTTTTTGTGGTGGTTTGTGGTGGTAGGGGACGTACTGCTGTTGCTAACACGGCACTTATGCCCATCAGTTGCTCCTTGTACTTTGCCTTATGCGGCCCAGGCTGAGATTCCTTTTCGAGGCTGACTTTAAGATGTTGTTTCGCAGCCTCGTATGTTCGAGCTGAGAGTGATTTCCAATCATCACCAGGTCGAGCTAGATTCGGAAACGTGATGGGGTTGAGGGAGAGGTGGAATGACGAAACAGCTATCAGAGCGTAAAAGGTCGCCAGATTCGCACGCTTGATCTGATCTCTATCCACATCCAACATCGTCAACTCGCTCAGCGTCATTATAGCAGAAGGGTAGTGAAGAGTCTTCCAAGCTGACTTTTCATTAATAGGAAGAGACCCCATCTGGCTGATGACATCGTCGTTGAAGTGCTTCAGAAGAAGAGGTGCGTCCATCATGAGATCAAGCTGCGGCCACGAAACGTCATCGCTCGCTGGTTCAAAAGGCATCATTTCTAAAGATTCAGAGAAGCTCATGTTGGATTCGTTAGGCCAGTTGAGATCCATGGGTAAAGTGTCGTAGGGGAGTTGAGGTGGATTGTCGAGAACGCTGACGTCCCAGGTGAATAAATCGCCCCAGTGCAGAAAATCAAGGGATGTTGTTGAGAAGTCATTGGAGTCGATTTCGTTTTCGATGGTATCTGAAAAGTCTTGGGTTTGGTTCTCGGAAAGAGTGTCGAGATCCATGTCGTTGAATGAGACGTGGTCTGAGGGCGTTGTAGCCGATTGACTTGTTTCGAACTTGAAGACCTGAAAAGGACCAACTTCGCAGGTATTCGCTGTATCATCTTTAACATCCAGCCCCTTAGACTCTTCATCAATCTGATTCAAAGCAGCCGTCACCGTCGACGGAACATTCGTCACAAGAGCATTACTCATAATCTCCCTATCCTCCTCTACAAAATCAGCCCAGCCCAATCACCAACACAATTCACTTACCAGTAAACAAATGCCTTCTCGAATACTGCTCCGCCCCAACATCAGCAATCTGCGTAGGCTGCCTATCATAAACCTCCCTCCCCGTCGAAACCAACCATCTCAGCGCCGGCGTGAAACCCTCACAGGTCAAACCCGCCTGCTTACAGCGATTACATCTCGGCAGAGACTGGTCACACTTGAGATGACGTTTCCGACATGTCTTGCACCCGCCGAAAGAGTGCGTTCGTCTGGATTTGGTGTTGGACATACTAATTCGTTTGAGTCGTGGAAGAGTGGCAGGGAGTGAGGGTTTGTCTTAAGAGGAAGGGGATCGGGATTGCTTGCTTTTTTGGGAGGGGGGCTTATCGGCGAGGGCGATGGGGATTGGCGAATTAGAACTTTGGGAGAGAATTGGAGGTGTTTGATAGGTTGAGAGAGGGAGCTAAAGTGTTCTAGTGTGGCTCGAAGCTTCGATGTTGCTTCTCTCCGCGTGATGGGCGATAGTGGCATTTTTGGTGGAGATTTGGGGAAGACAAGACAAAGGGCGTCAGTCAGTTGAAGTAGTGGATACCAGACATGTTCTGGGTCATCCACTTTATCTGAGGATGGTATTCATGGACAATTAGGAGTAGCAATGCTGGAACTTCAAAAGAGAGGAGATAAAGTTCTAGAGGGCAAAACTGGCAGTCTGTGACAGCCAAGAGGCAACTATGGGATGACTGCCACGTAAAAGATTAAGCTTTCAGCTGGCAACACAAAGCCTAGTCCGATCAGTGGAATCCCGATCATGCAGATAACTGGCATCAAGAGAATACTGTAGTAAATAAATTCCGCTATGCTATAACTATCACAATCTGTTCATACCCCTCCATTTTAAGCCTTGGCCTCAGCAGAGAACAACTTCTCAATACGGCGGTTATTCCACTCCCAAGCAGTTACATCCTCATACTTACAAGGAACACCCTCCTCAATAAACTCCTTCAGCGGGAACAAAGACGCACTTCGGTTAGGCTTAGCAAAGTAAGCAATAGAGTATCTCTCAGGAATGACCTGCTCGCCATCCCCGACCTTGATAGAAGGAGGATACGTGACGCGATGGCACGCAGCCTTGAACGTATCATTCGTCAAGCGCTGCAGAGAATCACCGATGTTGAGGATAATGTCGGTGGGAGAAGCTGACTCCACGTTGTTGAATGTTCCGAGATTCTCTTGGTCCTCGACCTGAAGACCGCCGACAGAGTCTTGGAAAAGCATGGTGATGGTTCCGAAATCTGTGTGCTCTGCGATGCGGGTTGCTGTACCGTCTGCAAGTTCTGAGGCAGGAATGGCAGGGTAGTGCAAGATTCGAAACTCATTCTCCGCACGGTTATGCAGCGCCTTCAAGTGATCAGGAGAAACACCAAGAGCAATAGCAAGAGCCTCAAGAAGCTGCATCTCCGTCTTGAACGCCATCTCATAAAACCCCTCCATGAAACTCCTAAACCCCGGCAACTCCTCCTCCGGAACCCAAATATTATCAACAAGCTCATCAGTCGCCGATCCAAAATCCACAGTCTCCTTGATATCACGAGTCTTTAACGGTCCAAGCCCCTTTTCGTAACCGCTAATGTTGGCGACGTTTTCCTGGCCGACGAAGGAGTATCCGCGGTTGGGGTTTGCTTGGGGAGGGTGCTTGGCGAGCATTTTTGTCTCGAGGGGGAGGTTGAAGAAGCGCTTTGTTTGGAGGAAGAGTTCGTGGATGGAGGTGGAGGGGATGGGGTGGTTGATTAGTTTGACGCCGCCGCGCTTTTTGAGGAGGCGGAGGAGGGAGTCGCAGAAGTCTTGCTTTTGGGAGGGGGTGCCGAAGAAGAGGGACATGTCGAGGGTGTCTGCGTTGACGGCGGCCATTTTGAAGGTTATAGATGAGAAGATGGGGAGAAGTGTAAGTGAAGTCAAAGACTGTTAAGATGATTGTGTTGTGATTGTGAGTGATGAAGTCTATTTGGTGCTGAGATCGCGACAGTTTATATACACGAATCTTTCGGAAACTGTTACTCCTTTCCCCAGACCTATAGCTTCCATTTTCATCATCATGATTTAACACTTAGTCTACATCTTCAATTCCAGAAGCATGTCAGTTTCCCAAAGAGTATAGCAAACAGCTATCAGTCAATGCCGGGCTAAGCCGTCAGCACAACAGCCCGGAAGTGCCGAAACACCATCAAGAAAGATAGTGATCCCGACAGCGAGACTAGACTATCCCCAAATACAGAGTTGGAGTGACGGCTATCGTCGCTGGAGTCGAGATAAGAATGAATGGTCTTCCCCACAAGCGAGTTGGTTGTTGGTGCGTGGGGAAGAATTGAGGGACCTGCAATAGGCAGGAGATCCCGAGGTGACCTGATTGGCTGACTCGTTGCTTTGCTTACCCTAGACCTTTCGTTGCATTGAAGTTAAATGTTAAATAAATATATCGCCAACCGTCGGAGAGGCTATCAGGTGTTTAAAAAATGATTATCGCGATAGTAAGGAAAGTTCAAGCCCATAAGCTATATCTTATCGTTCATAACTGACACAGCCGTTAGAGTCAGCCCGACTGTTTCATTACCTTACTTGGACCACCAACCATGACGTGCAATCTATCCAGCCCTCTCACCAGCGGGCTCAACCTGCAATGGCTCTGACGTTTCACCATCAACAGAAACATCGCACCGGCCTCCAATCATTCTACCCCGTGACATGATCGACAGTGTCTATTCTTGGCAGTGGGATTCCAACGGTGGGATGCCGGATCGTGCCGACAAAAGGGTATGAAGGTCCATGCCCGACATTGACGGGGTTCATGCGCCGGCAATTCCGGGATAATTTGATCCGGAGGCGTACTCGCATGACAAAACAGGAGGTCGCGCAGGAGGTACGTGGGACAGAATTAATCGCCTTTTTTATCTGATCTTGTCATCTCAATTGTGATGTTCACGGGAATGCGGTTGGCTGTGATATTCTCCGAATGGTGTTCTTACGCGGGTAATACGCGACGCGCCGGGACCGCGAGACTCTTCCCTTCAGAGATGCTTTTGTGTCCAAACATCCTTCATCGATTATGTAAATTGAGTAAAAAGTTCCGATCATCGTCCGTACGTGATCCAATCCCATCCATCACAGCCATTCGTGTTCGCGATACCCTCCAATACCTGCCGAGCGGTTAAACCAGAATTCTCCCGTCCTGACTCCTCAGTGAAGATCCCCCGGCCCTTTGGAACGGTAGTTAACCCACTGTAACCACAACACGGCAAAACCGGACCTTTTTGGATCATTTCTACCCAGAGAATCGCCCTCACTGTGAAATGAGATGAAGTCTATCACCCATAAAGTTCCCGTATCTTCAATTGTACCGTAGCATCATACGCGGCACAGTAGCATTTTAACCACCAGTGGCAACGCCATCAGATCTATCCTCTCTCTCGGTAATGTAAGCGACAAGTCAATGACGTACCAACCACGGCTCAGCCAACGCGTCGCCGTCCCCCCCCTAAACATGAGACAGAAGCACGAACCGTAGCTCGGCAGATGCGGAAATGACAGGGACGCTTTCTAGAAGCGGGGAGTCAAAGGGAATAAACTTTGCACTAGCGCTTCATCTCAGGGGATTTTAACTGCCGCTGCGACGGGCGCTGGGAGTTGAGGCTTAATGCTGCAGGCTGAGGGCTCATACTGGTACGTTTTTTATTGCGATGCGCCGAAATTGTCCAGAAAGCTTATTAGAGTAGCATTGTAATGCAACGACAGACATATATATAACCCACTGCTTACCCCCCGAGTAATTAACCGACTCTCATCACTCTCACTCATTTCATTTCTTACGCTCTTTTTTTTATTCTCGGTAAAATTAACATTAACATGCCGTCCCTCAAAGCCATCTCGGCCTCGCTTGTAGGCCTGCTGAGCCTTGGTAGCGCCAGCGTCATCCCCCCTGTTAATAGTGAGGGGTACTTGGTTGCGTCGACCTACTTTGCGGGGTTCCACGCCAATAGGGGATTTCCTGTCTCGGCTATGCCCTGGGACAAGTACACTGATGTGAAGTATGCGTTTGCTGAGACTACGCCTGATGGATCCCTCAATGTTTCTGGGTCGCAGCCTGAGAACATTCCTTGTTTTGTCAAGGATGCCAAGAAGCACAATGTCAAGCCTCTCATCTCGATCGGCGGCTGGGCTGGAAGCCGATTCCTGTCTAGCAACATCGACGGTGCCAAGAACCGCACTGTTTTCGTCAAGAATGTCATCAACTTTGTTGAGAAGTATGGCTTTGAAGGCTTTGACATTGAGTAAGTTCAACTCTCAAAGGGATTGGAATCAATCGACTGACGGAATCAGCTGGGAGTACCCTAACCGCCAGGGTCTCGGATGTAACGTCATCAACGACAATGATACCGCCAACCTTCTTGAATTCTTCAAGGAGATTCGCAAGGACCCTAAGGGTAAGAACTACTACATCACCGCCGCTGGATCCGTCTTCCCCTGGAACGGCAAGGATGGCACAGCCTCCAAGGATGTCAGCGGCTTTGCCGATGTCCTCAACTACATCATGCTCATGGTACGTAACTTTCCCCTACAACCTCATCTATACTAACAGTTCAGAACTACGACTACTACGGCGCCTGGTCCGCAGTCGCCGGCCCCAACTCTCCTCTCTACCGCAAGTGCGATCCCCGCAACGACCAAGGCGCCGCCGAGGACTCCATCACCCAGTGGACCGGCGCCGGCATGCCCGCCTCCCAGCTCGTCCTCGGCGCTCCCAACTACGGCCACGGCTTCAAGGTCAACAGCACTTCTGCGTTCGGCAAGAGCAAGAACCACAAGCTCCAGCTGTACCCCGCCCAGAACTCTACCGATCGCTTCCAGGGAAGCAGCTGGGACAACGATCCTCGCATCGATGCTTGCGGTAACCCCAGCCCTCCTGGAGGCACCTATCCTTTCTGGAGCTTGATCAAGGAGGCTCACTTCCTCGATGCCAAGGGAAACCCTGCTTCTGGTATTGCTTCTGCTTGGGATAACTGCAGTCAGACAGTAAGTCATTTTCACCTGGAATTATGGATATGGACTAACTTGAGTAGCCTGTTCTTTATGATGCCAAGCGTGAGATCTACGTTAGCTACGACAACGCTGCTTCTTTCTACGCCAAGGGCAAGTTTGTTCTTAAGCACAAACTTGCTGGATTCGGTACCTACGAGGCTGGCGGTGATTCCAACAACATCCTCATCGACTCTATCCGATCTGCTGTTGGTCTGCACTAAGCTGCAGATGCAATGGGCCTTGTGCTTTGACTTGGTGTGGATTTTAGACTGATGGATTGGCTTTGATGGTCTTGTTAACACATGCTTAGAGAATCTCCTAGCTTAATGAAACTTTCACTTCTTGAAACCAATCTATTGAATATGAATGCGTTGATAACTATGAAATGTTGAAGTAGATAAACCAACCAAGAGGCATGTTGTGAAAAGAAGAAAAGAAGAGAATATGTTAGGCTCGCTATGGCTGCCACTCCTGATGCTTATCCATTTAGCTAAGTCCGAGATTCTTGCCGCGTAATATTAACTTGTTCAACAGCGCTTGTGAGACCCCGCATGAACAGTAGCCTCAACAAAATCATGCCCAATATCAAGTCTAATACCCTCAGGGTTCGTAATCTCCGCTCCTTCATCTGCAAACAGTTAGCACTCTTCCCTCCCAAAGCACATCGTCGGTCAAGACTTACACCACGTATGATCAGCCTCAGGATGCGGTCCAACAAGTCCAACCGAACCCTTCCCATAAGGTGTAATCGAAGCAGCAACATCGCCATTCGCCGAATACCGTCCGACGATCTTTCCCGGCTTACTCGCGTCCATGCCCCTAATCACAACACCATCCTGGAAATACAACCATCTCTTATGCTCTGTAGTTCCCGACTCAAAAGTCCAATCAACATTGATGACCGTGTCTTCCTCGCCCTTGACCTGTGCCTTTCGACGCTCAATCTCCTGCTCCGTATCAACGCCCTTGGGAAGAAGATTATATCCGTTAACTGGTCCAGCGAGATAAGCACCGAGACAGAAACCAAGATAGTGACCGCCAGATTTGACGAATTCTTGGATTGCTTTTTCGTATTTCTTTGTTGAGCGGTATGCTTTGCTCCAGTTTGGGCCGCCGCCGTGGGCGTACACCGTTGCGCCTTTGAGAGCTTCAATCACGTCGATTGGTTCATTGGGACCAGCGAAGACGACTTCGAAGTTGGAGGGGGAGGAGACGAGGAGATCGCGTACGCCTTCGGGACAGCCTTCTGATGAGGCTGGGCCGCGGTATACGACTGCTTTGGGGCGTGCTTGTGCGCCTAGAGTGGCTGATACTCCGTAGGAGATGATGGCCATTGCGATGGAGACTGGGCTTCTGAAGTGCATGGTGTTTGAGTTGAGTGATTGTCGTGCTTGTAAATAAGAGTGATAGTGTTGATCTGAATTCTGACGCCTCATCAGTGTAAGTGGTCTGCTGGCATATTTATATCCAGAATGCCTCTGATCAGCATTCCAGACAAGTTGCCTCCCGCATCTCGGCACAGAGACGGCACGACATGGCGTACATCTCATCAAATAGCTTTTCAAAGTGCGTACAGATCCTTAATATAAGCAAGCTCTCAGCCGCATTGACAACCAACATCAGCCATGATTCGCTAGCGCTTCCATGTCAGCGTCTGATTAGACAGCGCGTACAAACACTCCCCACTTGGTGACATGCTCCAACCCTTTCAATGGCCCGCCAAAAGTGCACGCATCAAGATTCGGAACTTTCCCTTGAGCTCTTTGGCCGAAACACCAACAACGCTCCGTCACTAGCTGAAGGTCCTATCTCAGGCCATCGATCCGTCTGCAACCCAACAGCCCTCAGCACCATGTCATTCTCCAGAAAATCCGCCAACTGCCCGCTATCCCAAATTATTTCCCTCCTGCTCTGCGCTCTCAACATGAATATAATCCTATGTCGGACATTTTCATCCGTGCAGTACACGTAGAGTTGGAATAAAGCTGCTGTAAGGTCGATCTTGAGACCGAAGCGTGGTCGTGATGGGTTACACCATAGTTTCTCCAATTGATCGAGCAGAATATTGCACTCGGCGGGATCAAGATGAGCTTCGACGTCTTCGTCGACGGAGGATTGCTCCTCGATGAGGAGTTCCCATAGTTTATGCTGTATCCGCAGATTAAGTACTTTTTCAGTGTCAATAGGCTCCTTGCCAGCTGATAACTTCTTGATCAGAACTTCAAACTGGCATTGCCATGTTTGTACGTTTTCTCGTAATATCGACCATTGCGTGTTACACTCTGATTCTTCATTCTCCCATTCCTGATCAAGATCCCAAGAAATATGATTCACCATGTCGTCAAACTTATTCATGACATCTTCTGCTTCATCGAGGTTTCTGAATTCTCCCTCGATGCGCTTTTGTTTTTTTGCCGCTGGCATCAGAAGATGCGTCACGTCGGGGAATACGCGCTCCGGAGAAAAGATGGCGACTTGTGAGGCGATTGCGTGGAATATTGCAGCTAGTTCTTGGAAATCGCGATTGGGGAGATATGTTTTTGGGATGTGGTTTGTCAGGATCCTAGTTCCGGACTCGAGATGTCGAATTGCTTCGCCAAAGTCCCCACGAAGACTCTCCAGAATAACGAATAATATGCAACACGTCAAGACCGTTGACATATCCGGCGGTGACTCTTGGTTGCTTGTCAGTTTCGATATAGCTTCGTTATAATGCCTCAAAACGAATCGATCAAGTGACGCAGCTGATACTTCGTTCCGCGCCGAATACTGCCAATGCGTCGCTCCCAAAGCCAACACCGCATGTCGAACGCACTCGCTACTCTGACTCGGAACAAGAATATTCCTATTCCAGAAGTCTCTGTTCAGATACGGCGTGATCTCCAACTGGCTGATGATATCAGAGAAGAAATAAACGTAGTAATTCGACTCGAGCGTATCTCCCGGTAGCAGAGGCAGAGTCGGCGTCGCCTTGGCAGCTAGAATCGGCAGAGTGCGAGTCTGCGTCTTTGTCGTGACGGCTTTTGATTGGGGCGTATAACCATCGCAGACATACCCTCCATCCCTGCATCTGTTACAAGTGGGTTTCCCCTCGTCGCATTTCTTGTGTCGTTTCTTACTTGACTTGCATCAGCAGGTCAAGAGAAAAGAGAGGACGGATATGCGGGACTTACCATGTGAGACAACCTGTACGAGTCTTGCGAGAAAACGCTCTTACACGCTGAGCGCGTATAGACTTATCCATTTGGTAATAAAAAAAGCCACGGACGGATGATGTGGTTGTCCCGATGAGCCGTGGAGAGGCCCAGATAAGAATGACTGAAGATGTTCGACTGCGCACGAAGCTTCGTCAGTGGTTCTCTGCCAAGGCCCCGCTACTAAAGTTCCGGCCTCAGAGGGCTGCTAGTCGCCCTCCCTGCGCGTATAGACCAGCCAATTGCGTCTGCGCCCTTCAGCCTCACTAGCAAAAGCCGCCGAGACGTGGGTTTTAGGCAGCACAATTCGGCCGATTGCTCACGGACAAGTAGAGCTTTGGGAAATGTCCGTGAATCCTTCGGCTGTACAAGATTTGACCGATGAGCCACGTTTTACTTGTCATGATGCATCCTCTTAAGCTTGTTTACTGATCATCTCGGCAGTTGACTCACGTATAAACTTTGACAGCATCAGCCCAAATTTCCGAAAACGAATATCGTCTGAAACGCAAGAATGAATCCTTTGGGTGTGCTGCGCTACGCCGTCCAATGGTTTCTCTACGCAGTGCGTATCATGACACCGCTACGAAAGTCAAACTGACGTGAATAGGGACTTTACGGATATCAAGACTATTACCCCTTGCTTACTGCCCTCCGACACGTCCGCTCACTCAAACCCTCAACCTCTGAAGACGGAACGACAGGAATCCTCGGTCAAACGAAAAACACCTCATTCTGGTCGACGATATATCCTACCAAAGGCTTGGGAACATGGCTTGTTGGCGCGGCTGCAGAATCCGCTCTCGAATTCTACCTCAAAAAGTCTCTCCCAGTTTTCCTCGTGAAGTGCATCACAACAATTATCCTCGCACCTCTAAAGTTCCTCTGGATTCGATCGATCATGTCCGATTATCCTATATCTCTCAACTCAAACATCAGACTACTTCGTTGCGTCACCGCTAAGCAATGGCTGCACTTCATCGGTACCATGTTAGCTTGCGACATTGTCGATGAGATACCAGACCTTGTCTGCAAGCTCGGCCTGCTCTTGTTGTTGGCAAATGGTGTCGATGTTGTTCAAGAATGGGCCAAGGAGAATAGCACGACTGTTGGATTGATTACCCTCGGTGTCTTTTTCACGCTACAGATTATTCATGCGGTTATCAGTGTTCCACAAACGGTGGCGGCCGTTGAAGCAGCTCCCGATATAGACGAGACAGGGGAGGGGAGGAGTACACGTGAACTCTTGGCGGATATCAAGACAACTTTGCGAAGCATGAACTTTTCATTGTGGTTCCGATTCGCGGTCTATCATTGCATTACGTTTGTCATGGCTCGTATTGCAACTGCTGTTGGGTCACTGGGCGACATCGAAGTCAACATCAGTTGGAAAGACCCTCTGTAGATTCGGCAACACCAAAGGTCCATCTACCAGTCGATAACTCAGCCTACCTTGGGTCCATACTACACCATGCATCTACCGGATCAAGAGACCGTACATTTACCGCCCCCTCTCTTCACCTCCTCCATCAACAACTTAAACTCCATATTATCCTCCCCACTCTCAAGACGCTCAAGATTCACCTCATGATCAGGATAGATAGACCCATACTTCTCATCCAACCACCCATACGGCCAAATACAAAGCCCTTCCTCCTCCTTGACCTTCCTTCTCCAACTCTTAATCTTGTCATCCTCATCAGCCGGCGGCACATAAACCTCATCACCATAATAATCCCCTTCGTCTTCCGTAATAGGCCGTTCCTTAGTCGGTACACAAATAACCTCCGCAGGTGCTTTCAGAGCCTGACGTGCAGCTTTCCATAGATCAGCCCACCTTGGTGCATCGTCACCATTCGGATCGGAGGCAAACGCCACGCATTCCGTGATGCAGAGTTTAGAAAGCTTGCCATTTGCTGCTTTGAGATAATCTGTCAGTACGGAGGTCACTGCTATACCGTCTACGTGCAACGACCTCAATGAGGGCATGCAACCAGGAGGTATGTACAGCGAGCCTTCACCGCCCAGAAAGCCATCGTCGTGAGTCTTGAGTTTAAAGTATTCCAGCGCGTTCGCATGGCCAAGAACGTTTGCCGGCAATTCATTGAAGAAAGCGTGAAAACCAGGCAATGTATTAACCTGCCAACCAGCGCCATTGTTTCCGCCATACGTATTCAGCGTCAACTTCTTCAACCGGCCCAGAAACTCAGCCCATTTCTTGTCCTCCCAGAACGACGCCATTCGCGGGAGAAAGTTCGAGATCGTAAGTTCATCGACTGGCGACAGCGTAGCGATGTCGCGGTACATATCCCGCAAAGCAGCGCGCCATGAATATGTCTGTTCCTTTCGCTCGACTTGCCACCAAGTTTCGGGCTCGCAGCAGAAGTAGATATAGTTTCTGCCGATATCGTTGTTGTCCCAGTCCACTTCGCCCTCAAAGTCCTTTTCGCCATTGGTGTAGATTGTCAGGGCCTTGCAGCGCGGTAGACCCTTGAATCGGATGAGATCTTGGATGATTGGTGTGTCTGCTTCTTTTCGGGCCCAGACTGATGCGGGAGGATTTTCCCAGTACCATCTATTGTCAGGTTCATTGTCAATGTCGTTCTTCTCCTCGTCCTCGTCCTCGTCCTCGTCCTCGTCACTGTCGACTCCCATCTCATCCTCATCCTCTTCTTCGCTGCCATGCTCTTCATTCTCTGACATATCCAAATCAGAAGCATTATCCCCACCCTCTTCGGTCTCTTCTTCATCTTCTTCCTCCTCCTCATCCTCATCCTCATCCTCATCGGCCGTCTCAGTCAACTTCTCCGGGTAGAAAGTAACATTCAACCTCAATTCCAGAATATTCGCTCCATATTTATCGACGATAGTAGGCAAGATGTGATCCTCTACAAGCGGACAATCGACTCGTAGCACTTTGAAGAGACATGGCGCCATCGCGGCCCGAAGGCTGGAATTGGCCAGGCTGAGGTTCTTTCGATCATCCGGCTCAAGATAATCCGAAATGCTGAAAAGTACCTCAGGTGGTAGATCGAGAAAGTGGCCGGCCATTTTCGCTGTGCATTGGGCTTTGTGATTCGGAACCGATGCTGAGAGATTTTAACCTCGGTATTGTGAGGGCGAAGCTGTCAAGACGAATTGGGGATGGCCACTTTATGAGGTTGACAGTTGCTGCTGGTAAGAATAGTGACCTGAAATCGTGGGAGGCTATGCCTGTAGTGGTCTAGAGTCAGCTTCTGTCGCCTGGGCTTTACTGGATCCAGCGTTTGCACAATTCTTGGCAGCAGGCAGCTGCGGGGTCGAATAGTGACCATTCCCTCACTAACGCCCTGTAGCCTGACTGCTCTTGAGAAGAATATCGGGCCTCCATTTGCTCCTCCGATAAACAGGAGTCAATTTACAGGGCATTAGTGGGTACAAATGTGTGGCGCAGGTCCCGTCTGTTGTTCCGCCAAAGGCTTTGACTGCTATCGCTGCCAAATGAGCCTAATGGGCTGCAGTCCTAGCGCAGGAGATGTGAACCTCTAGGGGGTTTAGTACCCATCCGCAGCGTCTTTAGGTAAGGTACTCATCCGCAGCGGAGCACCATCTGATTCTCACCAGAAGAACATTCATCGACAATTGATGAATTGAGGCCAGTTGCATCAGACTCCCTCCTCTACCAAGATACCTCCCCCATCCTTCTCCGTCCCATCAACAGGCCCCAAGAACATAATATCATGCAATATCTGCTTCCACTCTCCATCCTCTTTCCTCCACCAATACTGAACCTTGACCAAAATCCCTCTTCCCTTGTTATCCTCCGTCCACATATTGACTCTCAACCCCTCCCACTTCTCACTCTCCGCTTTATCACAAACCTCCTCCAAAGACGCGAAACCAGCGGGAGCCAATTCCTTGACCGTTGCGAAGTCTTCTTTTTCGCTTATGAGGAGCGGTCGCATAGTGTAGAAGCTTTTCACGGAAGCGGGATCCATCTCACTTATGTCCCATCCCGCCTCGTGGTAAATTGTCTGCAGGACATCGCCTGCCTCACGTAGGTAGCGGAGAATGGTGTCCCGGTCTTTTGCAGCGTAGGTTGGGTCTGTGCGACATATCTGACGACATTCTGGTGAGAAGAAGAGGGCTTTGGCGTCGATGGACTTTGTTTCGCGGTATTCACGATATAATTTGACGAGTTCCTTCTCAAGAGACGAATATTCGGGAGAGGCCATTGTGATGTTTTAAAGAGCGGTGAATAATTCTTTTGGGAAGTTGTATCTAATATTAAGCTCAAATACCGTTACAGATATCGTTGTACGTGGTGGTGATTATTCAATTAGCCACTTTTTCAGCTTGTATTGAAGCCCGCTTATGTTTGTCTTAACCTTGAGAAGTTAAGGAAAAATATCCACGATACTGTATGTCAACTCAGGGCCAAAGAGGTTACAGGGTCCTTGGGGACTGGGCCATGCACCATGCACTCGCTTGAAATATCCAAGCTCTGCAATCAGCAGCACCGATCTAGATCTCAGCGTTAGATCAAGCTTGTGCGACATTGTTACTGCTGCGATAACCGAGCATCCTTGTTCACCGCCTGGATGCCATGGTCAAGAGGCCACACGGATCACACTCCAGATGCAATCAGAGTTGTTTATATGCTTCATTTCGTGGATAAACTCGCTATTTTCTTGAACTTTTCACTCTTTGGATACTGTATGTGAGGTTCCAAGCCAGCACTCGTGGTGACACAACACTGCTGCATTGGACAGCCAAGTAACAGGGCACAATGTCCGCCACTTTCTTTACTTTCTTGCAAGAGGAGGTTTTGTAGCAACTCAAGAGGGGCTATTGCTATTTGCAATCTGTAGTGCTGTCAATGGCTTTCCATCGTCACTTGTCAATGCTACGGTTTCTATATTAATCCTGTATTAATCGTAACTTTATATTACTTAAAAGCTAATAAGTAAATACTTGCTTCTAAATCTATAAGTATCTAGTATAACTATAGTACCTTTATATATGAAGCTACCTATCTATAGGTCATTTAGTAGCCATCCGCAGGCCATTAGGCACTCATCCGCAGGTCAATGCTCCCCGGTGATAGGCTATCTTAGCCTGGGCAAATGCGACTCATCTCTCACCAGATACGTACTCTATCACCTTGGCAGATTGGGTAACACGAATGGCAGCCTGTCTTGAAGTACCCATGAATAGCCTCCACTGCACTGCACATACCCGAAGATTGTGTCTGGTCGCAAAATGTCAGACCTTGATGTTTGTCAGCATGGGGCCGCAAAACATGCCACGAGACTAAGAGGACTTGCTCAACAAGACGTGGAAATAATGTTTCTACATACCTCATATATAACTTCTACGCTTTTAGGGACATCAAGAAGCCTTGTTCGATGCATCAAAATGTTAGAGAGAAGAGATAACAAGATGTGCATACTTCTGCAAGCCACTTCATCTTTGCCCAGAACTATTCGTCCGTTATTGGCCAACTCTTGGAAACCGTGTAACACGACAAACGACTAGCCACAATTTGATGACGCCTCAACTTGAGAAAGTGTTTGTAGATGCATGGACGCGGGAACAGACATTCTCAGACAGAAACTCGTTATTTATTATGCTCTTTCCCTCTTTCCTTTTCCCATCGTCTTTGCTATCTCCAACATCAACTTCCACTACCAACACTTCCTTTTCCAGATATCTCTATTATCAAAGCTCCAAGTCTTTCTGGTACACATACAGTCATCATGGATGGAGATGATGTTTCCCAGACTGAATCTTGCTTCAGATTGCTGGCCACTGTGAAGCTCATCGCAGAGAACGCCGCAGAATGCCACAGGCAACTCGTAGGTTACGAGGTCCTCAGCCTGAAAGATGACCACTGGGATCTCGACAACCAAATCAGAGATCTGGGTGCTGAGATGCGTAAGCTTCAAGCGGATAACCAAGATATCACTAGCCATTCCGATTATGCCAAAGAGTAGGGAGAAAAGCGGAAAAAGATCGGCCGCGACATCGCTAGGAGAGCACGCAAGGAACCTCTGACGCTGGCAGATATTCAGCCACACATCAAAGAATTCATGGCAAAGACTGACAAGGCTATGGAGGTCATACTTGTGTATCACGACAAACTAAGGGCACGATCTCTGCCACCTACTCCACCTACCGACGTGGGCGATGATAGCGACAACGACGCGCCACTCGATCCAGCGAATTCTTCCCCTGCCTCTCCCAACCCTAGCCTTCGAAGCCCTTCCCATAGCAGGCAGATTTCCCCAGACGCAGGAGGCCACCCATCTCCCAACCGTCGTGCACGCTGTCGTGAGATCACGACCGCGGAAATAGGTGGGTTCTCCGGTCAGAAGATCACTGAGACACCGGCAGGAAGTGGCGAGTGGTATGTCTTTCAGTGTGAAGAGCATAATCTGCCCTCAGATGGTCTTGCGCGGCCGGCACAGGCTGCCGCAAGGCATGCTATGGCGCATAGGCTCCCACCCACTCGTCCATCTGCCATTGAAGCCTTTGGTATCAAGATCGTAGACTGCGACGCTACAATCGCAAAGGCACACAATGATCGGGTCGTTCTCAAGTCTAAGGGGAAGGGCGTCTCCCAAGTTACCAGAGGCACTGGCGACAACCCTTATCGACCTCAACGTGGCGCACGCGCTGACAGCGATATGGCATCGCTTCTTGGCGATGTTAGCCCCTCACATCCTCGGCATATACCTATCCGACAAGTAGTGGCAACGAGAAAGCGCACCATTCTCACACGGGAACTGGACGGCACTGTAACACCCGCTGAGATCACCGCCAAGACGATCTACTGGATCAAGTGGCCAGACGATGGCATCTGCTACCCCGCCTACGTTCTTCCCTGGGAGTCCTTCCCTCGATTTCGGAGCAGGTACATCGCCCCAGTTGATCGCGGACTGTTGGAGTCAGTAGACGAGTTACCAGCCTGCTATGACAAACGCCATGGTCTCGCTGGTTTTTGGGCAGAGGGATACAAAGACGGTCAATGAAACATGCATAAGAGAGTGTATCCCGTCATCTTCTTTAGTCTTGGGAAGAGGTTCCCTTGGGAGTGTGAGACGGCTTGGGCTGCGGAGGAGGACTTTCGTGTCTTTGATGGCGATAAGGAAGATCCTCAGTTCAAGGCGTTGGTGGATCATTGGCAAGCGAGAGAGAATCGCCAGACTCCGGATAATGAGTTGACCAGAATGAGTAAGTTGACGATCTTATGTCTTGCTGGTTCTCATTACTGATGATGTGTTAGAACTGATGTCGCCGCCAAGTGATCGGGGATCATCCACCAGGTTGAGCAGCATTCCGGAGTCAAGTCCAGAAATGTCACTTGCGGACGGAAACATGGACGAAGAACCCGAACACAGCTTTATGGACTCAATCGAATGCTTGGCCAGTGATCGAGGGTCCAGGCTAGCAGAGTCACCCGACAGCTATGACGACCGGGACGATATCGGAGATGCTTTGGCGCGTGGTGCCATGGAATCTGAATCGAGACATACCAGCGCTTATCTGTCCCAGTGCATGCAACAGCGCGAATATACTGAGATGCGTTTTCGCCGTCGCAGCACGTCTATGTCACCAGGTTATGGCACACCTACTGGCCGACTCAGCCCTGAGGAAGATGAGGAATCAGATATCTACCGTGACGATAACGTTGGACCGTTCCACAGTAGAGATCCCAGCGATGAACCCGACACCGTATCCAAGAGATACGGCCTTGGAGATTCGCCCGTGAGGTCTTGGGAGTATTCTGATGTCGTCAATGGAAGGACCACGATTCCCCCCTCGGATGATGAAGAGTCTCTAGGGGAGAACAGCGATCATTATCAGATGGATGAGACTTCCTCTTCATGTCACGGGGCCGATGCTACTATGGACGCGGAGGACACTTTACAATTTGCTGGATCATTCAACCCCAGGAAAAGAGTCGCTTCCTCTGAACAGCGTATGCAACAGGCCATGGCCATTGCGGCTCGTCAGACGAACGCTGCCTGGCGTAACACTTTTCGCGAGCACTCTGAGGAGGTTGACGAGTTGTTATAGGCGAGTGGCACGTGCCCGTGTATCTGGCTAGCTTGTCGTCCTCTTGTTAACGTTTCTTTCCCGCCCCTTCGTCTATTCCCTCATTTTGCTTTCCATTCTGGAGTCTTTCGGTAAATCATGATCATCTTCGCATCTAGCTCACCTTATAGGTCTCGTCTACCCAGCCTGTCTTTACCAGCAAGGTCCTAACAGCATACTCCACCAATACCTTCTACGATCTGATCTCAGATATTATCTCAGCGTCAATCGAGGCATTCATTCTCTCATCTCATTGTTCCTCTGAAACACCTTTTCCTCCACCACTTATGCAGCCTGATACGAGGACCTGCCCGAACCCGGCTACTAATACCCGTCCAGTCAGCCTGGACTAACATTATGCTTAATTTAAACACCCTGCAGCAATCCATTTAGCCAAAACTCAATGCGAGCTACGGGCGCTGATCCAAACGAATCTTGGCTACGGTCTTAACAACTTCCTCTTGCAGACTTAGACCGTATTCCTACAGCTTATCATTTGACTGAAACCTCCGAATCAACGTTACAATCACCTTCTTTAGTGCCTTGGCTACTCAAAAGGTCCTGTCAGCGTAACACTGAATTTGGCGTCAACGCCGCCTTGGCCTATGGCGTGCTCTCACCAGTCTGGAAGGTCCTTAGCGTCACGCAATCGATAGCCAATCTACATGGGACCGGGGGCCAAGGGATCGACATGCTCGTATCTTGAAATCTCCCCATGGCTATTATCAAGAGGAATTGTTTAAAGATGTGAGGTTGCACTGGCCTGCTGAAGGCTAGAGTATCCTTATCTTGAGAATTATCTCCATCGTCTCACCATGGGCTTTTCTCTATCACGCTGGCGTCCTCAGCCAGAGGCTAAACCAGCTGTTATTGATGCCGATCAGAACTATACGTCTGATAGCTCTGATCCTGCGCTTCTTCGCGATGGAAATCTTGCCTTTACGCGTGTTCAGGGCGGAAATGACGCGAAGGCTTCGTATCAGGAGGCTATCGGTGCGCCTGTCGAGACAAACTCACCTCTAGGCTATCACGTCGGATGGTTGACTATCATCTTCTTGAACGTCAACCAGATGATTGGTACTGGTATCTTTTCAACGCGTATGTTCTATCGCCATGTCTTGTAACTGGTAGTCAGCATACTGACTCTGCTCTAGCTGGAAGCATCCTCAACGCCACCGGATCTGTAGGACTCGCTTTGATCTACTGGTTCATCGGCTTCATCATGGCCATTGCCGGATTCTGCGTGTATCTAGAGTTTGCTAGTTATTTCCCAAGTCGATCCGGAGCCGAAGTTGTATACCTCGAACAAGCATACCCCCGACCGAAGCATTTCTTTCCGATAGCTTATGCAGTGCAATCGGTTGTGTTGTCGTTCAGTAGCAGCAATGCTATCGGTTCGTCTTCAGTGGTATTTTGAGTTTTCAGTCACTAAGTCGTTTTGTAGTGCTGTCTCGGTATCTCTGGAGAATCGCTGGAAAGACGCCGAGTGACTGGGAAATGAAGGGCGTTGCCATCGCTGCGTACACACTTGCTGTGATCTGTGAGTACCCCGATAAGCTAGAAACATGTGTCGACTAATAGAGACTCAGGTGTGATCGCTCACAACAAATACTCCCTTTGGGCTGTGAACGTCTTGGGGTTCTTGAAGATCATCACCCTCATCTTGTCAGTTCACCACCGCGTAAATCTTTTCACTCTAACTTTTGCAGTATATCAATCACTGGCTTTGTAGTACTCGGTGGTAACGTCTCTCGAATCACAGACCCAAACGCCAACTTTCGCAACGCTTTTGAGGGCACAACCGACAACGGAAATGACCTCTCAACCGCCTTGGTCAACATCGTCTTCTCATACACTGGCTATGCCAACGCCTTTAATGTAGTCAACGAAGTCAAGAGACCGATCCCTACTATCAAGAAGTACGGCTTTATTTCCGTTCTTCTCGTTGCTGTTCTGTACATGCTGTGCAACGTGGCGTATTTCTCTGCTGGTAAGCTTGAGATGCCACAAGCTTCATGGCCTCATGTACTGATTCGAGCTTTTAGTCCCTAAGGAAGAGTTTGCAGAGTCGAATGAGATCGCTGCATCGGTCTTTTTCACTAGTGTCTTCGGTACTAGTGGTGCTGTGACAGCGTTGAATGTTCTTGTGCTGCTGAGTGCGTATGGTAACCTCCTTGCTACACTGATCGGCGCTTCACGATTGATTCGTGAGATCGGACGGTATTTCACCACAATTCCATAACTTTCTTTCATTTACTGACTCAAGATCAGCCAAGGAGTCTTGCCCTTCACTGCCTTCTGGGTATCAACAAAGCCCTTCGGAACACCCATCGGACCCTACCTACTGAAGTGGGCCATGACATTCATCATGATTGTAGCTCCTCCTGCTGGCGATGCATTCCAATTTGGTGAGTCTTCCACATCACAAGCTTCTGTTGTTCGTCTTGCTGACTGTAAGCCAGTCGTGAGTCTTAAGACATACCCCGAAGGGCTGTTCTTTTTGGCCATGAGTATCGGCCTCTACATCGTCCGGCGTCACAACAAGCGCGTCGGAAGAGGACCCCCAGAGTTCAAGGCTTGGGATGTCGCAGCCATATTCTTCATTCTCATTCAGATCTTCATCATCGTCATGCCATGGTATCCTCCAAAGGGCGGCCCATATGCTGGCGACGTAAGTTTCTGGTACGCAACGTACTGCGTAGTCGGCTGGGAATTTGAGGCAGCGTCACGTTGGTGGTGGACCAGTGCAGACAGGCGAGGTGCTTGATCAGAAAGAGATTTGATGAGTGAAACAGGCTTGGCTTGCTTGAGAAACGATCTCCTTAGTATAATATCGGAATACGAGTACCCAAAAACGTCTGGCATCTTTGCTTTTGATCGCGCGGCATTGATGAAACATGGAACATATAAGCTCGTGGGCTACCTGTACATCTTAACCGAGTAGAATACCAGGAATAAACAGCCTCATCCCCTTCGCTCGTCCAGAAGACTACCCCCAGGCATTCTTCGCATCACATTTCAACTGTCCATGGCATTGTACGCCGTTTAAACCCCCTGTGACCGCTCTGATTCACATTGATGATAGCCATACCAAGTCGACGCCTATGCAAACCGTCCATGGCCGTGCGATCCTAGCTACTGCACAATCCGTCACTGTTCATTTCCATCCACAGTGAAAGTTTCCACAATCTGGACGGCCTCGGCACCGGGATAACAAGCAAAGCCCTTGCATTGAACTGGATCAGCAGGGGAGGAGAAGTTGGTGAGATAGCCAGTAAGGATGGTTTTTAAAGGAGGACAAGCTGATGGGCAGAGAGAGAGGTCGCAGAGACAGCACCACCAGAGGAGAGGAGAAGCCGTTGAGGCAGCAACCTCAAAGGGCCGGCAAAGCCAAGTAAAGAGAATTGTGGAGATGACTGACGTTTCGCGTGGTATGCGAGGTTGTCGATCGAGGTAGGTAGGGTGATGGCATCGAGTTGACCAAAAGTCAACTGCCTTCGGGAGGCGCTGAAAGGATGCCAAAGTCGACGTCTGTAGACGGATCGGGAACGAGGTCCAGGGGTTACTAGAGGCACCCTCAGCTACAGCTGTCAGCGACTGTTCAAAGTGGTCAGGTGGACCTAGCGAAACTAACGAGAGTCGAATAGTGTGCACCGCACGCTCTTCTGGCCAGAAGTGGCGGCAGGTGGAACAAATTGGGGGCGGGAGGTCCAAAAAAGTCACTCAAGACGGCGACGACGAGAGCAGACGGCCGAGGCGGCGGCGGGAGGAGGAGATGGGGAGGAGGAGATGAAGAGATGAAGATGAACTTGCACCTCAAGCTCTGCCTTGGTCGCCGTCCCTCCTGGAGGCGCCACCTCTCTGGGGCAAATTACACCTCCAGGAGGGCAAGCAAGTCATTGAGTCGTGGCATCTTTGGAGGCATGGCGGCGTCGGGAGCGGTGGCAATGCTGTTGGTGATGATGCTTGGAGAACAAGATAGAATATGGGTGGAAAGCTTGAGATGATGGGATGATCCCGTAGAGGTTTGATGTTGAGACAGGATGAAGGTGCAGGCCATCGACCGGGAGGAACACAGTAACGCCGTCCGTTGAGGAAGGCACGCCTGCGGCGGGGAGGAGCCAATTGACGGGACCATCTCGTGGTTGGGACGACACGATCAATCAAGGGAAGAAGATTGGGCGTGGTTCACATTGACAAATGGCGAATTGAAGATGGCGAGCCCATATCACGTTTGTCAAGTTTGTGAGTCTGTTCTGAAAGAGCAAGAGATCTCCAGATTCTGACCGGAGCTACGGCAAATATGTAATCTAAGGTTTCCTAAGTTTACCCTAAATTATCCTAAATTTACCTAGGTCCCTTCATCCTTTAGGATAGTCTAAAAGTCCTTAGGCCTTTCTGCTTCCCCTTGTCTGTTTACAGCTTTACGTAATTCACTTCACTTCACTGGGTCGTGTGACCACCAAAGGTCAGCGCAGAATGCCCTCCGAGGCTTCAAGGGAGACACGGCCAATTCGTAGTTCGTCTCAGTAGCATTTTGGTCTCTTCTTGACGCAGCTTATCTTGGACTACTGTTTGGAGGTATAAGCATCTTATCGGCTGAGGTACGCCTACGCTGAGGTCCAAGTCCATGGCGGGTTCGTAGTTTTTGCTGGCGGGTTGCAATTTGGTAATAATTCGAAGCCAAATATGGTTTCTGAGGTCAAATATCCGTCGTATCATCATTGGCAGGTGGCTCGGAACCTTCTGGGATGTCAGCGTGGAGAAAAAAACGCGAGAACTCATTCACAAGCTCCTGGGGCGTTCCACGGCGCGTTCATACCTCTTGTGAATCACCATTTGACGAAAATTAAATGCCAGTTACCGATATGGATGTTGGTAAGTCTTCATTTGTACGTGGCTCGGGGCCTTCAGGCTTATCGCCCTGGAAAAATAGAAGAGCTCATCTGCAAGCTCCGGGAGGCGTCCACGGCGCATTCGCATTTCTTGCTTACGGTTGCTGTTTGGCAAAGATCAAATCCAATTATCATTGACATAATGTCGGTCACGCCATCATTAGCAGGTGGTTCCATACCTTCAAGTCATTGACCAACCCAGTACACATTGACGAGACGCAGGAGTTCAGAGACCATGATCCTCCTATTTGTTACCAGGTGTTGCTTATTGTGTTCAATCTGGCTACTAATGTAAGGATATGTGCTTGAATGAGTAGAGGATGGAGGTCAAGAGCCTGACTCAGCTGGGCAATCTGATCAAGCTTAGTGTAACGAATCGGCGCGGGTGACAGGAGGATGCAGTGATGATGCGAGTATAGCGCCCTTCACGAACCCACTTGTTTACCCCCATCACAGATTCTGCAAGAGTTTATCCTCCCTGTGGTAACTCCGGTCTGTGTCTTACCCAGTACCGCTGTAATTAAACTATTTGTGCCGACTGAAGATCTTGGGAATGAGCACAAACAGGAAAAAGGGCCGTTTTCTACAAGCTGACTTAGCGAACACGAAGACAACTAACTGTGTTTAGATAGGCTTAATGCTAGAATTGGGAAAAAATATCGTAAAGGGAACACAGATAAACTCGGTAAGACGTATGAGGACACAATCAGAAGACAATGGGCCGGCCCGATATTGGTACATCGCTCCACTCATGCAGTACAAGCCATATGAGCCAGTTCGGACAAATGATCCAAACCTGCTGTTGAGGGATTAAGGATCTGCCATATTAAACATAGTTCAGGTGTCTCTCCACCTTGTCGGGGTTCAGACGCTTCAATGACCAGTGGAGTTAAACCCAGAGAGCCCCATTTAGTTTACCAACAGGTCATCATTGTCCTACATAAACAACATCAAAGTTAGGCGAGGCTCCGCCTAGCGGCAATGAAAACAGTCCACGAAGGACAGTGCATGACGTTCTGCAACATGTAACCTTGATGGTGAACTCAAAAGTTTTCTTAGCAATATGGCAACCCTCAGAGACCAACCGAGTCAGTTGTCTCAAGTCATGAGTATAAGTATGGCGCTTTCTCCCTGCTCCAGGTAAAGCTCACTAGTGGTCACCCGCCTCCAGATACACACAGCCATCACCACCACAACAATCAATACTAGATGGTTCTGGAAGCTTTGTTTTGATCAACCATGGTCATCTCTTCATCCAGGTCTCGAGATAGAGGCCGCCGTTGACTGTTTCCCCCTTGAGATATAACGATGCTGAAGGGGACGTGTTGGCCAAAAGAAGCACGACTTTAAGATGAGGAGAACTAATGCACATATTGAAAAGGATTGTGGACCAGGAGCTGCATGGGCAAAGTGATTGGATGTTGGCTCGAGAGAGATGGTTCAAGATGTAAAGGGGAAAACTACGTTGATGACGACGACCTTTTGCATGTTCTTCTTTCTCCATGGTCGGCTACCTATGCTGTTGAACAGACTTGGCATGATCTGAAAGGACGTTCTGGACAAATCCGTTGAAGAAACCCATGCTTTGCTATTTTATTTCTTTCGACAAGCTGAATTGTGCGATATACCCATTCCCAGACCAGTTCTTGGGCGCCATAGATGGCATGTGCGAGCATTTTACCAACAGCTTCTGACGGCGTCTACCATTATCTTAAAGCTCAGCATCGCGTTTAGCAGCATCAAGCCACTCTGGGTTTCTAGCGTTATTGTAAGAACACAGCAATCTAACAGGTAAGCTCTTTAGAGGATACTTAAAAACAGGTAAAAATAATTAATCCTTTATTCTCAACGCTACAGGCAAGCTGAATAAATATAAATCAGGGCAATATTTAATAATATTACTAGAATAAATACAATTAATAGCTAATAAGAGAAGTTTAATTTAATATAATAATATAAGGCTATTATAAAATAGCAAGGTACTAGACTCGTTGTTCTTAATTAAGGCCCAGATACTGTATTAGTAGTTTGTATTTAATAGAGTGAATGTCTGCTCAGTTGCGGCTAATTATTCAGTAGGCTCGGAAGGAGGCAAGGATAGCTCCTTCCTATTGTGGTTTATTCCCTATGCTTAGTAAAAAAAGGCTCCCGTGGCCTAATGGCTAAGGCGTCTGACTTCTATGTGTGGTTTTTCCAACACTCCAAGTGGGGGAGACTATGCCAGTTGCTAATCAGAAGATTGCCGGTTCGAGCCCGGCCGGGAGCTCGCGTTTCAGACTTTTTGAACTGTACAAAGTAATCAGCATCGTTTCAGCTTTCAAATGAATATTTTTCCAACTCTTTTGGACTTGAATTGGTGGAGTTGTGGCCGAAAACATTTTTGGTGTCTTGATGTTAGGCGTCGGCCAAGTCACGTGGCCGCCGCATTCCCCAAACGCGATGATGACGTTTGGATTCCCAGCGACTTCAACGTAACTAACTACTCCCTACATTAAACTTATTTAAACTAGTAGACTAGCTCAATTGCCTGCCTATCTTTTCAATAGTCTTTCATACCAGGACTGTCTGTGTTCAGATTACGATGAGAACCAGGAGCGGAACCGAGACTCACGAGGATAACGCCACCGCGCGCGGTCACAAGTGACAGTCGAGCAAGACGGACTCTGCGCCGGAGCCAAAGACCAAACAGGCCAAGACGAGTGAGACGCCAGAGGGACAGAAACCCACACTCACAGAAAAGGACCTCGAGTTCGACTTCGACCACTCTCAGATCCGGGACCCGCGAGCAACGCCGGGTCGCGTCAGGCGTCCCCGGTATGAGGAGCGCGAACTAAGTGAGGAGTTTCTGAATAAGTTCCACATCCCCAAGCATAGAAACAAGCATACGGACCCGTTGTATTCATTCTACGATCTTCATCGATGTCACCGTAAGGGTCCAGATGGGGCCCCGACCTATGATAGCGCGGGCTTTCAACTCGACTATGAGAAAGTCGCCAAGTGGATGAAGCCGGTGGCTTACAACAAGAAATCAATGGTTAATGGCATGGAGCGCCATTTGGAGAGAGTGGAAGAATAGACAAAGAAGATCTACGACTGCTTCTTTGTTGATGGAAAGGGTCCAGAGGGTGAAGATGGTAGTATTCAGGTCATGGATCAACTCAAAGATCAGGTCTCCAAGGATCTCAGGGTCCCCTGGCACCAGATCGACCCGAAGCAGCTGAAGAAATGGGAAGATCAGGGGTTCGCCAAGGTGGACGCGAACAAGTGGTGGCACCGGCCAAATCAAGTTGAGCGCGATCGCTTCATGAAGATGCTAGAGGGGGCTTCACTCCGGAAGGATCTATAGCCGTAAAGTGGATTCAGATCGTAGGGTGTCTTATCTCCCAGGATCAAATAGTTCTTCAATTCCAGTATAGCTTTGTTTATCATTCCTCCAGCTAGGGATCAAAAGTGCGTGCTAGTCAAAGGATCTCGTCCTAGGAGCAGACTATCTCGATCTCTGACTAACGGTGCAACCACTACGTGCAGGAATATTCATTTGGTCGGCAATTTGGATTTGCCGACCCAATAAACACGGACGGTGAAAAGTCCTCGGGTTTGTTTAGAGTGGGTTAGACTAAGCTGTCATTCCCAAGCCATGTTAGCGCTGACTCCGGGGCCCTGGATCCCATCGCCTCGAGGACAAAACGACCCTACGAGTCTCCCTTGCATAACAAGCCCCACATCAAAAGGGCGCCAATTCTACACGCCCTTGTGGCGTTTTACATCGTGCTTATGATCATGTCTCAGAGATAAAATACAACGTCGAAATATCTGGAATTTTGAGCGTCACATCGCAAAGATACATCACATTTCTACAACTGCCGAAGAGAAACAAGACCATAGAAACAATGACCACTCAGACACAGTTGCTCGAGGATATGCTGCCCTCAACTGCCGAGGCGCCGACTTACGTGGACTCTCCACCCAGGAGCGTCGCCAACAGCAGCACCCCAGCACCAGCACCAGCAGTGGCATCTCGTTTACAGAAAATAGCAGTGACATTCCAACTGTCCGGCGTCAACTTTGCAGCCAGCGCTACAAACGGCCTCATCGTCGTGGGTCTCCCCCAGATGACAGCCGACCTCTCCCTCCCCCCATCCCTCGCCTTCTGGCCCTCCTCCGTGCAGGGCCTCGCGACGGCCTCAACACTGCTTCTCGCGGGTGCCCTCGCGGACGTGCTTGGCGCCAGGTCCGTCGATCTGCTCGGGTGCATCCTCAGCGGCGCGCTCATGCTGGCCTGCGGATTCGTCCGCGCGGGCGAGCAGCTAGTTGCGCTAAGGGCCCTACAGGGCGTTGCGCTCGCGCTGCATCTCTCGGGCTCCGTGGCGCTCGTGACGAGGACGCTGGCGCGGGGACGGGGCAGGAACTTTGCGTTTGCGTGTCTGGGGTTGAGCCAGCCGCTTGGCTTTTCGTTTGGGCTTGTCCTTGGCGGAGTGCTGGTCGAGACTATTGGCTGGAGATCAGGTTGGTTTCTCTACGGTGGCATCAATCTTGTCTTGTCCGCTGTGGGCTTCTGGTCTCTGCCAAAGTCCGAGCCGCTTGGAACGTTGCACAGTGTGTTGCAGAGCGTTGCGACAAAGATTGATTGGCTCGGCACTCTTCTTGCTTCAGCTTTCATGGCACTGCTGTCATACTTCCTAGCGTACGCCACCGTCACCCGTGTCTTAATTCAACGGCCTGGCATAACTGACATTCTATAGCATCATCAGCACAGATGTGTACCGCATCAAAGACGCAAGCAGTATTGCCCTTCTAAGCACGAGTCTCGTTGCACTGCCGCTCTTTGTCGGCTGGATGCATCTTCAGGTGAAAAGGGGTCTCCCGGCCTTGATACCGAATGCGTTCTGGCGGAACCACTCTTTCACCACGATCTGCGTGACCATAGCCTTATCCAACGCTGTCATAAACTCTCTAGAGCTATTTGCGAGTCTATTGTAAGTGTTAAACCCGAATGACAGCTCGTAGCACCCCACGTTATTAATCTTGGCCTAGCTTCCAAGAGGTGCAGCACCTATCAGCTCTCAGTGCAGCTATTCGCATTCTTCCTAGCGTCGTGGTGGGTGTAGCCCTCAACTTCACAACAGGTCTAGTTGTCCACAGGATCCCTGCTATATGGCTCGTTGTTATTACATCTGTCCTCACAGCAATCTCGCCTCTGCTCATGGCACTCATCGACCCCGCGTGGACGTACTGGACAGCTGCATTCTTCGCACAGGTCCTCATGCCCTTCTCAGCAGACGTCCTCTTCACGGTGGGTCTGATAGTGGTGACTGAAACCTTCTCCGAGGACAAACAGGCGGTGGCCGGGTCAGTGTTCAACGCAGCGTCCCAGTTTGGAAATGCCATGGGTTTAGCCGTGATGCAGGTTATATCGACCCTTGTAAGCAAGCAACATGCAGGATCGAAGCCAGCTGAGGCTCTTCTTCAGGGCTACAAGGCAAGTTTCTGGGCCATGTTTTCATTCATGGTTCTCTGTGCTCTCATTGGAGGTGTCGGCTTGCGCAGAGCCGGCAAAGTCGGTCTGAAGCAGGAGTAAAAAGGGGGCACTAGACAATACAGAAGTTGAGGGCGAAGATCTCCCTAGGAGAAGTGAAAGTGGAATTTGGTGACATCTCGATATAATTCTATTGAATGAACGGGAGATGGACCTTGTTCCGTCGCAATTCGGGGCGGGCTCGCAAACCTAGTCGGCTCCCAATCGAGTTATTGGGTCCGACATGGGTCCTTGGCGTTAGGTTCAGCTTTCAGAATACTAGCAGTGTCGATCCCACGGGAACGTGTCTTGGAGTTCAGCTGTCACGGAAATACCTACTCTACGATCCCTGGAAAGAAATGTTAATTCCTACGATTCATTTCCTGAATAATTCCATGATCAGCCCTATCTGATACCTGTTTCATCGTTGGTGGTGTGTCGTGGGAAAAGTTTACAGTGGCCTTGTCGGAAGTTCCTCACGGAAGTTCCGTTAGCACCCGATGGGCCAGCTAAAGTGCCGCCGCCGGGTAGTTAATATCCAGAAAGCCACCTACCCATGGACAACTCGATTTAGTGGGCTCTGATCCAGTTACAGAGGGATCCGCTGCGGCTCTTGCTCCGACTCTAAGGGCCTAGACTGTCCACGGCATCCACGCGCTAGTTCGTGTAAGGGAACGATCTTAGGGCTGCTGGGGGGGCGTAAACGCGCGTTCTGTAAGTGGCTTGCTTTGGTGGTTTTGGGGGTTCACCTCCACCTCCAGCCAGGTATTTGGGGTACCTAGTCTTAGGTATGGTTCAGCCATCAATTTACTCCGTACCTGGCAAGTAAATTAATTTACGAGACATTGCCTGTGACGACTTGAGACATTTCCGTTGGGACGTTTGTCGTTGACGATTGACTGACCTCAGAAGAATGCCATCATGACTTTGGTATGGTATTGTCTGGAATTCCATCCATCAGTATCACCTCATGCGATGCACCTCGTTTAGTGGGCGGCTTGGGGGACCCGTCAGGCCGTTTGTTGGTGAACGCGCAACAAACGCCAAACTGACATTCCACGCCACGCCTTGATGACATCCCATCTAATCCTAATTCTCTGATCTAACGTCAATCGCAATTGATCCTCCCAATACGGAAGGGAATGATACTTGGCCCCAAACTCCTGCAAAGCTGAGATCCCTGCCGTGTATCAGTCAATAGGATCGATAACCGTCATGATCTCGCAGTATCCAGCAACCAAGAACCTGAATCGCTAATCTCGCATGCATGACTGACACCTCTAGATATCCAAGATCCAAGCGTATAGATCACAGCCAGGCTAGGATCTTTCTTATCTTGATTGCCCAGAGCCGCGTCGCAGGGTTGAGGTGAGGTTACTTTGAGACGTGAATTGGGACTGGCTTGCGAGTCAGTCTCCAAGCGAGACGTTGCGCCCCGTGGAGATCTTGCGGGCCCATGGCTTGGGACTTGACTTGGTGCTTGGCCTTAGGAACTGAACAGCCTGAGAACCGGAAACCCGAGGCAGAGAGAGACATGTGGCTGTAGACTAGAGCTGAACGGACAAGGACAACGCCACGAATGAGCACCCTAATCCCAGTGCCCGGCACATCGGAATTAGCCATTGAGGGTTTAGCCTCTGCTTATTGCTGATTACATCACCTACCAAATCTCGGTGTTATCCCTTTCAGCTCCATTGTGGCACTCTAGCGCTGAAGCTTGTTTTCCCTGGCATGAGCAGAGCATGAGCGTGAGCCCTTGAGGCACAGCCCAAACAGAAGAAGCGGAGGCTCCCTGGGCTTGCTTTGGCTTGCCCTGGTCTTGTCTACCCTGGCTGCTGGGTAAGGTGCTACAGCATACCATCCATCCCGACCGTTCATCGGTACCTAAACTAAATGACTTGGAGGGTAGCGTGAATCGATCAAAAGCCCGTGATCCGCTTCCCCAGATTCACTTCCACGAACCCCTCTCCCTCCATCTCATCCTCCCTAAGGTATTCTGGGATGTACTCTTAAACGGTAGACTAATTAGCTCCCCCTCCCCAACGGATATAAGTCTGCCTGTTGGTCCGGTCGCATCTTTTTTTTTTTTCTCTCTCGTCCTGTTTCTCTGCCCCATCCCTGAAGGCGATCATCATGTATAATGAAACCCAGACCTCGACTGCCGAAGCCCGTCGGCTCAAAAAGCGGGAGCTCGATCGCAAGGCCCAACGCCTGGCGCGAGAGCGCACAAAGAGTCGCATCGCTCAATTGGAGAGCATGGTCGACAATCTTCGACAAGACGACTCTAATGCGCAAATAGCTACCTTGATGGACCAATTAGGCAAGGTCACCAAGGAGAGGGACAATTTATTACAGGTCCTCGACTCGTTAGGCTCCACGATCCGTCGGCACATTGGCGATACCAACAGCGCCACCACCACGAGCGAGCCACGATCAGAGACAAAATCCGAGTCGCCAGCGTATGCTGGGCAATCACAGTCGCAATCGCAATCGCAATCGCAATCAACATCAAACGAACGAATAGTCCCAATCATGACCCAAAGAGCAGCCTCAGAAACAAGCAACTCTACAATACTAGAACTCCCCCTCAACCACAGCCATCCTCCCCCGCACGACCCCTTCTCCTACGACGGCTGGAACTACGCCGTGACGACAGAGCACTACCCAACCTCGATGGCCTTCGACAACTCGATCCTCCCTCCCGCCGGCAACGGCTTCATCCCTATCCAGCCTCTCCTCCCAAACCTGCCCCCAACGCCCGAAGAGGACGACGTCATCATCCCCAAGGCCCCCGTGCTCTGCCACTGCTCCAGTCCGACGAGCTGTGCCTCGGGCTACCACGACAAGCCCAACATCTGGCGCGCCATAAACGAGGTCCTCGTCAAGCCCACAAAGCTCTCGGCTGAGGAGATGGCGATCGAGGAGTACAACGCGGAGGATATACCCGTGCGCGCTATGATTGAGGGCTGGGATAGCATTGAGCGAGCGGGCAAGATGACGCCGACGTGGCGCAAGCTGCGCAGGGCAGATGAGCTGTGCTTTTCAAATTGCCGAGAAACAGAGCGTTTGGCTGCGATGCGCATATGTCATCTGTTGATCACGTATCACGGCGATCCTACGATTGAGAGACGCGCGACTTTACCGCGATGGTACTGGAATAGGTGCGACAAGCCAATTAATTCCCCACGCGAATGAACCAAAAAACTCACAAAATCCACAGACCATCGCAAGCACTACCACATTCATACGGCATTGACTTTTTCGTCTGGTAAGTCCCAACTCAATTCAATTGAACCCGCCAAACCACCACAAAAACTAACCCCACCCGCAGGCCCGGTCTCCGCGAACGCCTCATCTTCTCCCAACACCAATACTGCAACAACTCCTTCTGGGAGCTCCTCCAAACCAACCTAAAGATCCTCTGGACGGACACCTTCCAGGATACATTCTACCACAACGCGCACACGGGCAAATACCACATATCGCCACTTTTCGAGCAGCGCATCCGCGACATCAACGCGTGGACCATGTCGACGGACTTTTTCCAGCACTTTCCCGAGCTGAGCGAGGACATCCCGGCGTATATGGGGATACCGGCTTCCATGGGGGGCGTGCATCCATCTGCTGTTGTGCCGTCGAGTAGGAGGCGGTATGAGGATGATGAGAGCAAAGTACATAAAGGACAGAGGGCAGCTATATGTTAGAGACTCTTCCAATGATAAACGAACGGAATGATGTACAGATTTGGTGTCTGTGATTCTATTGCTTTGATTGTGATTTCTAATCTTGGGCAAAGTCTTTGTAGAGCCATGGATCGTCTAGAAGCTCTTTGGCTGTACTCCGATCCTCGCGGCGCCAGGTGATCATTCTCTTGACAAATCGGATGAATCGCGTTTTTTCCTCGCCAGACATGCATGTGAGCGTGCTATCGAGGTTGAAATTCCTGGGCACACGGCTCGGCCTTTTCAGCTCTCCTTGTCATGCATCAGTAAGCATTACCCCAGCAAGCCATCAAGTACAATCACATACCGCTTTCCTGGTAGAACAAGGTCGATCTCCTCCCTTTGTTTATAAGGTCGTGGGGGGTAGGGCCGAGTAGTGCGCCGATCTGTGCCAAATGGGTCAAGTCATCGTGTGCCGTCCCGTCCCCTAGAGTCAAAGGGCTAAAGAGGCTTTTCCTTTCAAGTAAGTCCCAAAGCTATCATCGTACGATTAGTTACTGTTTGCCCCGCGTGACACGAGAGGTAGACTGTACCATTACCCCAAGGCTCCAGATGTCCGCGGGGTAGCTGTACCCAGAGTTGAGGATGACTTCTGGTGCTCGGTATTTCTCTCCTTGGATCGCACCGTAGTGCAGCTTTCCTGGCGTTGAACGGACAGCAAGATCAAAATCAACGAGCTGAATGATACCCGTTGGTCGAGTAAGCGGTCCGTAGTTGTTTCGAGACAGGTAAATGGTGCGGTCGTCTAACTGCTTCTCTGGCAATGGGTTGTTGTACTCGTCTATGGCGTCCTTTTCAAACATCTTGGCGTCTTCGATTCTTATCATGATGTTGTCGGGTTTAAGATCTGCAAAAAGTCTTATTAATATCGTAGACCTAGCTGCCTATTTATTCGCTTACCTGCATGAATTATATGGCACTCAGTGTGAAGGTAGTCGAGTCCAAGAAGTATCATTTGGAGGAGAATCTTTAAAATGTCCGGAGGGATGACGCCACCAATGTATCTGGAGCAATATAGCCAAAGCGGCTCACGTAGAGGTTCCAACACGAGGCATGGGTGGCTACCATATGGACTCTCAAGAGCAAAAGTGTCGGTGAGTTTTCTAACGAAATGCCATCCATGATGCTTAGGATTCGTTCGGTTGATGTGCTGAAGGATATCGATTTCGTTTTCCGCAGAACGTCGTCTCTTTAAACTCTTGGTTACTTTAACTTTAATTGCGACATACTTCTCTGCAGACCACTTCCATCTAGCTGTGTCAGTATATATCTCAGATCTCATGAACTCAAAATGAAAGTTTACCGGTTCAGATCTCGAGCAAGCCAAACGGTCGAATTGGCTCCATACCCGAGCTTAGTCGCCACCTGATACCTCCCATTCAGCAGCTGTCCCAGCTGAATCGGATAAAACCTCTCCGGACTGTAGTTTGGAGTCTTCTCTTCTTCGATGGGACATGTAAGATCAAGACGTGGGGCTGGTATGGCGCACGGCGGCCATGGTTGGTGGTACAACGCCATGATGCGCCTCGACCTGATCACCCCCTGCGACTCTCTTAGTATAGGAAGCTGAACAAAGCCTGGTATTTCTACTAGCAAACGCCATATCATGCGACGTGACCTCGGAAGTGTTGTCTTGTGTTGGTTTGATGATGACGAGAGCGTGCGTATGCGGCGCCGATAAGCAAAAGTGGGGCGGGTTTGTTCACAGCCAAACTGATTGTTGATTGTTGTTTGACGCCTCCATAAGTCACTGCCAAGACTACGTAGGTAGAGGAAGCCATCGTATATTCGTCCCTGCATAGAACTCTATAGAGATAACGACTAATTTGTGATAGCCACGTCAATACTTGGGATCAAGTAGCCAAAAGTTTATCCATATACTATCGAAATGTAATCACTTCTTCTGTTCATTATTTTCTTGCCTAGGGTATCTACACATGGCTTGTTTGCAACTTTGCCTCGTCACAAGGTCAGTTTTTATGTTGCTGCTTTTGTTCCTTTGTCTTTCCCTGACGCCTTGCAGGTCAGTAGGAGAACAATATGAAGGAATGGTAGCTATTGTAGTGTTATGTCTCGTTAGGATGCCATACGCTTTGACTATCGATTAATCAGTAGTCGTTTTGGCAAACTACAAGAAGCATAAAAGGACATCATCCCAAACGCCAGATTGACCTGTTTACCGTCCCCAAACCTCATCATGTTTCAGCGCCCTTTGAAAAAGACTCTGCATCATCCTCTTGTTTTCATTTACAAGGGCTGCAGGCCTATAAATCATTACACTTGGAGCATCCGTGATGCAGTCGTTGCGAACCCAAAGTTAAAGGGGCCAACACTGTGTTCATTCCGTAAGTGCAAAAGACACATTAGACGACAAAATCGCTGAGCCTCCCTCCCAGAGGTCGACCCCATATCTCTAGAAAAGATCCATCTCTGCGCGTTAACGCGAAGATCCTCAAGGACGACAAGATTCTAACCAGAGTTCACGCATACGAGGATTGTAGGGTCGTATATTCAAGGGATGCTTATAATCGAGCTCAGAGGAAGTTAACAATGGAACTCGATAATGACGGACGTTGGCTAGCTGTTGGTGAAGATGGCAACTTGATAAAGGAAGTTCTGAGGAGAGAAAGACCTGCTTCGAATTGGTGGAAGTCTATAAAGTGGACTCGTCGAGGGAATAAATGAGGCTCAGTTACAACATTTACAATGTGAGCTAGAAGTATGCTTGGATTATAGTTAGTGTTTGGAGTATGATTGTTTTGCTCGATATGAAATTGATCGGGTATCAGTACGAGACAATTGAAGTGAAATTATATGTTTGATGAATCTAAGTCTTGATATTATCATTATCACATTTTCCTTCCTTCCTATGCACTTCATTTTGTCTTGCCATGCGGCTCATAGTACGCACCAAGACTGCAACTTGTTAGCAAACATCTTCTCACCGGGGCCAAAAGCAACTTACGCAATGATAACATAGCAGGCAAACATCAGAGCTCCTTTCAGTCCGATAGCTCTGATGGCAGTGCCCGCACGACTGAGAATCAGCAGGTTGATCAATAAACCCGATCCAACTAATGTCGTAGTTTCGAAGACGTTAAAGGCCATCTCGAGATCCCGGCCAAGCATCCAGGCTATTAGGACCGTCAAAGGCGCTACACAAAGCGCGATCTGAATGGCTGATCCGACAGCAACAGAAATAGCAAGCTCGAGCTTGTTTCTCATCGCAACTGTGACGACGGTCACATATTCGGCAATATTGCCGACTACTGGAAGGATGATCAAGCCGATCAGAGCTTCTGATAGTCCGCCTTCATGAGTGACATCGTCAATCGTCTTGACGAGAAACTCTGCGTTCATTGACATCAGCGCCGATGAGACAAACAGAACCGTAACAGCAGCTACAGTGCCGCTCGTACTAGAAGGATGTGAAGGATGACCCGGTACTTCCGGCCGTTCCATAATAGTAGTTCTCGACTGGGCACTCCCAACCGAAAGGTCCCGCATCTCCGACCCATGAAACTCCGTCCTCGAACCAGAACGCGAATGTGATCGTGAGTTCCCTCTCGACCGATGCGACAAATTAGCACGAGTCGTTTCTCTCTTTCCCCGCTCCTCCTCAGCTTCCGCTACGCTCATCGTATCAAGCGTCGTGCTCCTCGCACGCGTCGGAACTTCCTGGTCCGCAAATCGAATAAGTCTCGCACTGTGAGACGTCGAACCCTGGTTTCGTCGGTGTTCTGTGTGTAGTGGCTGTAGTGGAATTGCTGGTGCTTCGACATGCTTGGGTCTCATCTCATACGCGAAATACACGATGTAGATGACGAGCACTACTAGTGATGAAGCGCGGCTCATACTCAATGCGGCTTCGCTCTTCTTTCCCTTCATGTGAAAAGTGTAGTCAAATGCCGTCTTTTCAAGTTAGTTGTTTGTAAGAGTAAGAGAATGAGTGCACTTACGGGGATGAGAATGACGAATACTGAGACGAAGAGGAGAGCGGCTAGGAGCTCAGACTCTTCCATGCTGCTGTGAGGGTCGATGTTGGACATGCTGCTTGCAAAAAGCGCAGAGCCCAAGATGAGAAGAAGGTTCACGAGAACACTACCTAAAATCGAAGCTTGAACGATGCGAATATGGTTATTCACCAGTGCAACGCTGTAAAAGTCAGTTCTCAGCCTCACTAACTCAATCTCATTTCAACTCACACCCTGCATCAGTTAGCAAAAATCTCTCTCAAAATCTCACAGCAAAACTCACAAGATAATCAATTCAACAAGATTTCCAAGCGTAATGTTCAACAGCGCACCGATGGTATCTCCCGCATCAGCAGCAATACGCTCCGTCGCCTCCGTCAGCATCACAGAGAGCGGGACGATAGCAATCGCATTCGTCATGAAAATCGCAAGAGGATTAATTTGGAACGAATGCGCGGCCAATCCAATCGGTACAAAAACAAGCAACCAATTCAATCTCGATGCAGCGACTGTTGATCGAATCTGACCGAAAAATGAGACTCCCTCATGGTGGCTGCTAAAGTCGAACTGCGTACGGTCAAGAGGCGGTGACTGCGTTTCCAAATCATTCGAGTTCGAAATTCCAAGCTGCTGATATCGAACGCCATCTCCTAAACGCGATGATGCACGAAGCGCTCGCTTCATGGTATCTTTTTCTCACAATCAGTTTTCTCCGTCATTTCCGATATCTCGTCTAAAAAAAGGGGGCTATGCGCGCACCTCGTATACTGAAATCAATACCATGGTGATTCAGCGGGTCAGGCGCGTCATCTTCATCTTCGCTCGCACTAGACGGTGAGCAGTCATTGTATCTGGTAGTCTCCGTAGCGAGGGAGGGACTCATTGAGGGTGGAAAGACAAAAAGTATGTGTGAAAAGGATGGAATCAAGAATGTGAGTGAGAAAGGGGGGCCCTCATAATTTAAAAGGAGGCCTCGCGATAATTTGATCGCTAAAGAACGCCGCTAATGAGCACTGTTGTCAATTTACCCCTGATTTCTTAGGCTGGGTACTTGGCGACGATAATCCCCAAAATTCCTACGGATACCGCCCTTGTTTTTAATTGATTGTTAACATTGAGGAGGGGAGGGGGGACCCCCAGTGGATAAGGATAAGGGTAAAGTAGCGAGCGAATTTTTAGCGTCACGAGCGAGATCTGTCTGTCTGCATACAGCAGCGCCTCTGCGCCATTTATTCCATTCGTCTACCCTTTTAGCCTGTGACTTTACACAATATCTTGTTTTTTTTTTTCACTTTCAGATCGTTCTATCGAGCTTCTAGCCTCAAAGGGAGGGGGAGAAAACGCCCCCTGGTCAAACTCTCGCGGGAGATGACGGTGCCCCGCATGGAGGGTCCAGGGAAGCTAAGGTTGAGCATTGACGAGGTAAATCGTAATTAAAATCTGGTTAAAACCGAGGGGCTCTGACGCTTTGGCTGTATCAAGGTGAAGCGTGAGTTGTAGCAAGAGAATAATGCTGATTTTGAGGATCGTGAAGATCAACAGGCGTGAGAGAGAAATTGATAGTGGTTGAGCCGCTGGAATTAAGCATTTGCCAAGGCTCTTGTGACGCAGCCTCAATGCTTACTTTGCTTTGCTTTACTTTGCTTCTGTTGGTCCATGTTTCAAGCAGCGACTGCACTGTTATCTTATCTCGCATGGAGATGGAACATGGCTGAATTTGATGTCATTGATCTGCGAATTGGTTGATCTGGTCATATCTGATCAAGTCAGTGTTTCATGTCGACACCGATTGCCACGATACCCTCATGGTGCAATCGTGCACCCTATTTCCGATACGCAGCATTCTCGACCGTTCACATTCGTTTTGTCGCTGGAGACGCAGACATAACTGACGATGTTAAAATAAAGTAGATAAGTTCATATACTGTAAGCATATATTTTCAACGCTCTAGTAATCGTTGATTGGCTGATAAGCACAACAACGCGACCCTGTCCTTGCAAACTCACTTTCTACAGATGACAAACCATAATCTCAAAACCAAACTCCTCCGAACTCTGTTTTATCACATGACTGAATATCCTTCAAAAGGTCCATAAAGCCACCTCACGACAGTCCCCTCTATCAAAGTCAGATGAGGAGAAATCACAAGTCGATTACGTAGACGACTCCACAAAAGCCAAGCAAACAACGCATCCTCTCGGACAATTTTCGCAGTCCGATATCTCACTACAATCCTAAAATGATATGGCATGTCAGTCTTGGATCATCGATTAGTTGACGTCTGTGGCGACTTCAACACTCTGGCAAACCCCGATGGATCTTCTCTCTACAGACCAAGACTAACCTCGATATCGGACAATGTAGAATGCCGAAATTTATGATGAGAAGGCCGGTTCCGATAATCGGTAAAGTCAAAATCACAGAAGCAATAACTATATAAGCTCCAATACATGGTTTCTGTTAGGTCTCATCTAAACAACTCATCTCGTATATTCAACACCAGAAACACGCGTCATGTCTCCCGTCAAAGCCATCATCTTCGG